CAAACATGTAAGCTTGTCTCAATAAGCAATTAATAAATGAATGGCAAGATAAATTAATATGAGCTTCATTATTTCTGTTTCAATTTATAATATTTGTTGAAAAGCAATATAAGCAACATAAGAAGTCATAATCCATTTTATTTTTGGTTTTGGTTGTGTGTGGTTTTTATTTCCGTTTTATTTATTATTTTTCGCTGTGCTTTATTTTGGATATGTACATAAAATGTCTTCCAGTTTGTTAAGAGTTCTGCAAAGTAAAGTTTATTCAACAAAAAGCTGGTTTGATGTGTGTTTGGGGTTTGATCTACTGGACAAATGGAAATAAAAACCACATGCAAAAGAACCTATAAATGAATTGGACTATAAAATTTCTGTCCCTTAAAAAAATATGAATAATTGAAACGGAAATTAACAGACTCATTTTGACATCGAACTGTATAATGTTGTCCCTTCTGAACATAAACTAAAACTGTAATCAATGAGAGAGGCTAACACCAAGTATCTGTAATGCTAGTAGACCACTTTAAATAAAATCGACCAATTCTGGGAGATCAAATTCGCAGCCAGAATTATGGTCAAAATCTTGCTGATGACTGAAAGCCACATGTTAGAAGTGCAGCGTACCAAAGACCAAAGTTAAATTTAGTGTCTGTGTATAGACATATTTCTGTATGAGTAATAACAAATTCAAACTTCCAAATTGACTTTTTCTCTTCTACAGATTTTTTTGCTGTAGGGTTAACCTACCCAATAACGTAAACTACCCATAAAATTGTATGAATGGCACAATATTATTTGATATTAATGTGTATGACAGGTGTATGTAAACATTTGCAAACCAATCAACTACAGCATTATGACCACTAGCAGACATTGTGACTCTCACAGGGGGTTTGAACACGTCAGACACCAAATGAACATTTTGTTCTAGAAGTTGATGTACTCTAACTGAGGTAAGAAAGAGTCCAAAGCCAAACTGGAAAGGCAAGATGGCGGTGTCACAGCGTTTCCCCAGATGAAATCCAGACTCTATATACGTCATAAGTTCATAAGTAGAACAGTCAAAAATGAACTTGAATCCCAGCAATACTGGAAAAAAAATATGAAAGCCAGAGGACAACAAATAGCTTTCAGCAAAAATACTTCCTGTACAAATCTCCCTGAAATATTGAAGGACAGACATTTTTTCTGGTAGGTTATCTGCACTTACTGATGTAATCAAAGAGCACAAAACCAGGATGTCAAAAGAGATGGAATTTCTGATATATGGATGGTAAATAGCCTCTCAGCAAACAAAACACACACAAAGCTGTTCTGATTGATCAGCTCAGCCACACAAAATCACGCCGAGATGTTCTTTAAATCATAAAAAAGTCAAACCAAAATGGCTGACCACAAAAATAATGTAAGAAAATAGAGACTAAAGTGTTTCTGTAGCTGATTTGAGGTCTAAATTTTAGAACCTTACTTCAATCCTTCAGTTGATCCAGGCTTCTAAAATTACTTCAATGCTAACCTTACTTTAATGTTTACTTTAAGATTATCACATTCCAAACAGGAGACATCAAAAGGACATGTCTTCAGATCAGACGAGACCGACATTGAACCGGTTAACATAGAAATGAAACACGTTGTGGCGGACAACCAATACTGAACTTTACCCAGAGAACACTATCCAACAATGAAACATGGTGGTGGCAGCATCATGCCAAGGGGATGCTTTTCTTGAGCAGGGACAGGGAAAGCTGGTTAGGGGACATTACTAACCAGGAGAAATATGGTGCAGATAAAGCAGAAAAACTCTCAGCAAAACAAGTTGTTCTGAGGATTTGTAGAACACCTTATTTGTAGAGATTGGCCAATCTCTACAAATGTCTTTTCTTGCTCAGGTCTGACCTGAATAACAAATACAGGGTTTCCCCAAGTTTACTATAAGCCTGGGAGGGCACCAGGCTTAGCCTTGCTAATTTATTTAAGTTTTTTTTAAAGTTTGTGGGTTTTTTTTAAACTTTGTACTTGGTGTTCAGACATCAATCTTCCAATAAGACATAATTATCAAGTGATATTTTCAAATTTTCTGAAACTGTGCCGCTGTGTTTTTTAACTCAAAAACACAGCGGGCCGCTGGATAAATAACTGCCGAGCGCCCCAACTGAGCAAGTTTTCTGGGGGAAACCTTGAAATATTAAAAGTATTTTTTTGTCAGTCATCAAACGTGTGAAAACTAAGAACATCTATTTCTAGTCTATAACCATGCCTCCCAACAGCATTTAGTTTAATGCACATTTACTATGGATTTAAATAACCACCAATAATTAGGGACATATGATCTAATGACAACTTGTTGTAGTAATTGCTTTATTTTCTTGGATTGAAAGGTGCTACCTCAAGAACCTGCAGCACATTTTTGCTGCTATGTGTTGCAGCACAACAATGAATTAGCTAAAATGTGAATTGAGAGGTCCTTATGATACCTGTCCAAACCAAAACAACTCTGATCAATCTTTTTCTGACAGATACTGCTTATCTTAGTCATATGACCACATTTCCTTCCAGTGAAATATGAGTTGATTGAGGAATATTACTATACATCTATAGTGGTAAGTGGGTACAAAATGTCTCCAAAGAAGGTTGGGATTTGGGTATGAAAAGATCAACATTACTATTACCAGTTTGGTTCCAAGAAAGCACAATATCCAGAAAGATATCAAGCATCAAATTATTGAAAAGGACAACTAGGTTCAGATTTGTATAAATCTGGGAAACAAGGAATGTGGTGGATCCCCCAACCCGCTGAATCAACCTTAACTGTGGTGAATGCGAGTGCTAACGACAAAACTAGCAAAAGACAAGCAGGGCTAAACTAAAGTACTCCCCAAAAGATCAATGACAAACATGTTGAGCAGATAAAATGAGATCTGCCTCAGCAGAGAGCAGCAGACCACAAAACCTGTTTAAACTGATTAGATAACTCCTGATACTGTAATAGGCTGACTTCTTCCTTTTTGCTGGTGTCCAGCAGTTTGACTGAACTGTGTCCTCACCGCCCGCTCGGGATGGGGCTGCTTTCATCTCTGCCCGCTGACTCTGGCTGCTGATCCCCCGGCGGGTCGCCACTCAGCTCGGCCTCGGCCTCCCCTTCTCCCTCCCCGGCATCGCCCCGCCACCTCCGCCGGGGAACGTCCGACGCTCTGTCGGTGCTGGAGCCGGCCCAGCGCTTCAGCTGCTCCCGCCGCTTGGTCTTCGCCGTGTCCCCCATTAAATTAACCGCGGAGGACGGTGTTTTTATAAATAAAACCTGTGCTGGCGGGGCCAGACACACCCTCCATGTGTATACTTTCGCTTCCTGGTTCTAGCTCCTGATCGCTCTGAAGGCGGTGGAAGTCCGGCTCGTGCTCGAGAGCGTCGAGAACGCGCCGTCAGCCGTCGTGACGTCACGACGATGATGTTTTGAAAGGGGAAACGTGCCCGCGCGTTGTGCACGCATTTTACTTCCTGCCTTTGTGCTCTTTGATGCTTGTAACAAACCTATACATCCTCCAAATCCTCATAGTAAACACAGAGTTCACCGATGTTTCCATGCTAAGATGTTAAAAGCGACACATGATGAGGCGCATTGTAACAACACTACTTGGCAAATGATGCACAAATGGAAAAACATTTCTTTTTTCTCCTTTATTTGTCCGTCCAACCAGGGCTGGATTTAGGACAAATCATAAATCACCAGTTTTGGTGCCTCATATATAAATAAAGCCTATTTATGCAAATTATAATGCATTTCACCTGACATACATATCAGCAGGTTTAAAACATCCCATTTGAAATGACTCCATGTTGGGCCTAAAAAGATGTGCTATAGTTTCAGGATTTTCAAGCATTTGAGTATTGTATACACGAATAAAAGTGTAGCAATGTTTAAACAATACAATTCATATGGGCTTATGACTTTTATATAAGGTACAATTCAAAACAGACATTTAATAAAAAACAAATTCAAAATCTTGTCTCAAACCTTCGGACCTTAGGTTACTGCCCCGAGCCTGATGCACTCCTAATTGTTGAACAAAGCTAACAGTAAGCTTTCAGCTGTAACTGTAGGTTCTATAAAGTACTGAGCCAGGGGGGACTTTGTCAATATTCAAAGAACAGTAAGTGATATTTTTCCATTAAGTACCTCCTTTAGGATCTTTGAGTATGCTATTGAAATATGAACTTATACCATATACTATCTAAGAAATGCAGAACTATTGTTGCCAGACCCTTAGAGTGAGTCATAGTTGCCATTCTTTTTCTGTACCATAGAAAGTATTCCTGGTGTGGTGCTTTTGTATTTATTTATGTCTCCTTCCTGTTCTCACTGCAGCTCATGGCTCATACTGCATCTGGTTCTGCTGGGGGTTTCTTCCTGTCGAGGCCGAGTTTGGCTCTCCTCTAGACTCATGAAGGAAACTCGTGTTTTATCCTCTGCATTGTTTATTCATAATGGAATTAAAGTAAAGATCTAAGCAATTTGTGAGTTTTCATATAAATAAATGGCAATACGCCTAAAATCCGACTGTAGTGAAAATGTTAAACTAGACTTTTTATTGAGGTTATATTTGTGTTAATCACCACTAATATTAATAAACTGCACTGAAGTGAAATGGAATCTGCATGATTTTGATAGTATACTGGGTTATGGCAGCAAAAATGTAGTGTGATGTATTTCTCTGCGTTTTATCTTGTGAAATTCTCTTAAAAAGGCTTTTAGATTAAAATTTTTTGTCAGATTATGCAAACTAAATCAAAGTGAACAGAACTCAGTGGGGGAAAATAAGCTTCAGATTTGATTTTGTAGAATTAGAATGAATTTTCTCTGCAACAAAAACTGTATTCAGAGGCCTGTTAATCAATAAAAGCAATCAATGCTAATCCTATGGTGTGACCTCTGAGTGCGCCTGTAAACATTCCAACATGGACACAGGGTCAAATTCCACAACACATTTTGCTTGGGGCCATGTGTGCTCACTTCTGTCCCTCTGCAGCCTGGGATCTACAGACAGAGAGCCACTGAGAGAAGAAGGTATGCATCTCATTTGCATTTATCATGTTGTTGCAGTCCCAGCCTCATATACTGTGTATTATTCCAAAGAGTAAGACAAGAACACAAAGGAAGGAGAATTTTTAAACATGTTGCTTTGTGTCGCAAACTGAGCAAAAGTTCATTTTTTGACTCAGAAGGGTGATGAGTCTAAATGGACCTTGCGAGACATTACTCAGTTATGACCATCTTCTTGTGTAATCTAGTCTTGTTGCAGCTCCTACACTGGAAACAGGAATAAAAACAGAAATCAGTAATTAAACCTGAAAAATGTGTCAGAAAACTTAAAATCACACTATATTTGACAATACATAACCTAATTTTGGTTCCTACTTTAATTAAAAGACTGGATAATTACAGAAAACATTTTTTTTTCTTAAATGCAGGTTTGTAGCATGTCTGGACCAAAACCACAAGTGGTCTATTCGATTCCAACTTACACCCTGACCCGGCTTGCACGAGAGTGGCTGGCAGAGGACACTCCAAACTTTGACCCGGCAGGAGTCTGCGTGGGATCAGAGGAAGTGGAGGCAAAGTTGCTGTGTAAAACTCCACACACCGTGCTGGCAGGAAGCCCTTTCTTCACAGCAGTGTTCACTGAGGTCGGCTGTACCGTGGACTGGATATACCAGGAAGGAGCGGTGATCGGTAAGCATCAGTAAACTAAATTACCACAAAAACTACACTGACATAAGGTAATCATTTGGTGAGAACAATGCTCCATTTATCTTTTTATTTACTTGTTTTTTTTTCCAGAAATTTTGATGTTTGTTACATTTTAATATTTCAAACAATCAAGCAAATTTTAATGTTGGATCTCATCTGAATGATGGAAACAAAAGGAATGTTTGAAATTAGTCTAGTGCTGGAGGAACATTGCAGGAACGTCAGACGTGTAGTTTCATTGCTAAAATTGACTTTTTGGAGTCATATAATATGTGTGCTATAGTGCTTTCCCCGAAAGTTTTGGACTAATGTTTGTCAAACTGTGATAAAAGTCATTCTGTTGGTACACAGACTGCCTCAGCGGTACATATGGATATTAATTATTTGCAAGGTAAATAAAAACAAGCCAACTGTGAAAAAGTGAAATACTGAAGCAGGAAAGAGTTGTGCTCTGTTTCCTTTACTTCTGAAGTTGAATCTTGGATCTGGATAAATCATCAAACCATAAATTTACAGTTTTTCAGTTCTAAGTTCAGAAAACAGTGAGATTTGCTGATTGGTATGCTAAGTGACAAACCTACTTTAGTTAGCAATACAAGCTTTGTACAATACAATTTTTTGTCTTGAACATTGCACTTCCTAACAGTACAGTAACATGTTATTTTAAAAAGGTTGCAAAGTGTCACGTATTAATAGCTTTAAATATGAACAAAGTCCCAGAAATGCAAATATACTATTCTGTTATTCCCACTATAACTAGGTTTTACTTGCAAAACAGACATGAGGAAGCCCAGATGATGATGTTATGGAAGCCCAGATGATGATGTTATGGTTTTGGAAACTTCTGATAGATTAACAGACACATTTGACTGGCTTGTGTCATCCTCATAGTGAAGCATGGGGGCAACACAATCTTGTTGTGGAGCTTCTTTGTTGCAGGAGGAGCTGGTACATTTCTCTTTCTCATTATTGTGGCATTTAGCAAATAGAAATATTTTTTTGATTATTCTAACTGACCCAAAACAAATAATGTTTGGTTTGATTTAACTTCAGATAGCGAGAAAAAACAAGCAAACATAAACCTGTCTTTTTTTTTTTTTTTTGGTGTATATGAACTTTTGGTTTCAGCAGTGCTAAAGTGTATGTAATGCTGATTGTAATTTGCTGATACAAAGAATATAAATTGTGCATTTATATAGGAGTCAAATTAAAAAGAGAATAATGTTCCTGACATGCCATGGTACAAAAAAGAAAAAAACATCCAGTACCTCCATCTGCCCAATTTCTGTAACATCTGCAGGTCCAGATGCTGTCACTGTGACCGCCGTGGTGAGAGGCCCAGCGAGATGCCTCCTCCTCGGGGAGCGCCCTGCTCTAAACTGCCTGAGTCGTGCCTCGGGGATCGCCACCCGCTGCTCTCAGCTCAAATTGATGGCAAAGTCTGCGGGCTGGCACGGAGAAGTGGCTGGCACCCGTAAGACCACCCCGGGCTTTAGGCTGGTGGAGAAGTACGCCATGCTGGTGGGCGGCACATCCATGCACAGACAGGACCTGAGCGGGATGGTGATGCTGAAGGACAACCACGTCTGGGCATCAGGGAACATCACAGAGGTGGGCAGCTGCAGAGGTTCAAGATGAACAAACAGGAAGATTGTGCTCAAATGATCACGACACCACAACTTTGCATCTTCAGTTCATACAAAGGCATGTCATATTTTGAGGGGGCGCCACTGCAAAACAGATGGCACAAATCCACCAGATTTTGCCAGCTACAAATAGTGTTAGATGAAATTTTCTGTATCTATAGCAACAAAGCACAATACAAGATGACATGATTTTAAAATGTTGCTAAACAACCAAAACATTTCCAAAAAAAAACCACAAACAGGCAACCTAAAATGTTTAAAAACTTTACTTGGAAATAATTAGCCCTGTCACAAGACAAAGTTAGTTTCAGAATTTTACAAGAAAATAACCATGAATTACGTTTTAATAAGGAGGATTTTTCTCATGCTAATATATTTTCTTTACTTATATACAGATGAGTCCCATGCAGACGTACATAAGGGCTTCATTTTCAATAATTTTTTTTGTAAAGCTAGAAGTCTTTATTTCATGGGAGAGAGAGAGGAAAGTGAACCCAGGACAGCTGGGTTGAAGACCAGTCGCTGCACCTGGGGTTCCTGCCTGACCCACAGCACCATGCTGTGCCCCAGGAGGCCAGCTTCAATAAATAAAATACATAAGGTTTTTTGGGGGGGCAGGTTCTATCCAGTGCATGCCTCTCCAAGTCAGAGAGACACTCTCCATCTGAGACACACATATCTGTTGAAAATGTTACTCTGATAAGAAGACACTTCAAAGCACCATTTCTTTACATATAGACATTCCAAAAAGAAAGCCTCTTTGCTCCAGTTGTCATTTTCTGTAAGATGTTATCAGTCTTTTGCAATGTTGTGAGGGAATTATGGTTCGTTCTTCTTTTCAAAGACAGGCCTGTTTGGTGACGTCTCCAGGCAGGCCTTTAGGAATGGACTTTGACTAGATTTTTCCAGCACCTTGATTCAGCCACCCTGTCATAGATGTGGAGCTGTGTCTGCAACCTGACATGATCTAGTTTGAGACAAGTTTTAGATGTTTTGCAGATGGTCTCACATTTGCAGCCAGAAGATAACAGTCAGATGTCCCAGGGCCAGAATTAGTGATTGTGGTTGTGTGAATGTAGCTCTAGCATGTCAAGTGGTGAGCATGGCTAGAAAAATGTCTACATAAATTCAGTTAATATATGAATATGAGCACAATGATTTGGATGTAACCAGGTCGTGTGGGTTCGAAAAAGCCCAACTCATCACACCTCCATCATGATGTTTGACACTTGGGTATGAGGTGTTTGTGTTTAGAATATGGTTTGGTTTCTAATTCGGAATAAACACTGACGCTGTAATTTATTCAGATGAACTTTTGAAAACATTTTCTGTTGACACATTTTTTAAAGAGAAGAATCTTGGAAACCATTAAAAAATAAGCCTTTCTTGTTCTGCTTTTCAAAACTGTCTATGATGAAGGGCAGTAATAAGTATAATCAATTATGCCATTTTACTAAGTTACTTGACTAAGTTGCGATGAAGTAACTTAATTCCTTAAATTAACTAACTTACTTGATTATGGAAATACTGCATATATGAAACATTACCAAAAACATATGATTTCCAAATTTGTCACCTTGAAATTCAGCCCTTGTCTCTTCAAGAAATTTCTGCTCTTTCTGACACTCTTGACTTTCAGCACATCATCACAACATTGCTTTTCCATTACTCCGTTAACAACAGTTCTTAGGCCCAGCAGATGTGCCGTTCCACCAGGTATTTTCCAATCATAATTGATAATTGGTTCGATAGGATGTGAAATATCCACAATTGCTTTAATAGAACAGTATTTAATGTTTTTCTATGATACCAATGGCAGTTCTATCTCCAGGTAGTTGTGATTATAAATTGTGTATAAAACTTTAGCTGGCTCAAGTTATCAAGTTTCTGGGATGCCGCAATTATAAGTTCTTCAAATTTCCTGCTTTCAGTCTTTTGTGTGAAAAAAAAACACGTAGCAGATAAAGTCCAGTAGAGCTTTTTTTGTCTACTTGCTGACAACTCTTAATCATATATGAAAACTGATCTGGAAAAATATGGTTATATTATACTTAATTTGCAAAACAAATCTATTGGAATTGACTTCTTTTATACGCTATGTAGAACAAATTAAAACTTGAAATATTGTTGATGTCCTTGTTGACTTCCTGTTGTGGGTGGAAATTTACACAGGTGAGTGCAATCGGCCACAAATTGCTCTGGTGAGAACTGCACTCAGGCCAAACGAAACTGAAGGCTGTGTTGTTTTTCCTTTATCACTACCCGGCATTTAAAGCCCTTTAAAGATTTTAACGTCAACAAAAGCACATTCGTAGCTTGAAAAAAAGAAGAAGCGTTATGTCATTTTGGACATAATGCAGATCTAGCAGAAAACTCATAGAGGAACTGCTAAGACATTCACATTTCACTTAGATTTAAAAGGATTACTAAGCTCTATATCATTTTGGTCATATTAAGAATCACTTTGGTAAAACAGCCACATCTAATCTGAAGGAATGAAACTGGATCAGATTGAGTGTTTTAGCTGTGAATGGTTAATCCATATATGTTTAATCTACAACATAACTGTGATGATCCATAAAACAGTTACCCAGATGGGGTTCCAGGACAATTGGCAATGATGACTATACATATCTGCAGAAACTACAAAGTACATTAACAGAGTGAAAGATCTTCTTTTGTGACGTGCATAACAAAGTTACGCACTGCTTTCCTAATATTGACGTGGTCAGTTACGATGCAATATTTAAGTTTTCATCAATAAAGGTATTTTGAATCATGTACAGTCATGAACTTGTTTTTTTTTATCTAAAAAATGCAGAGTTCTTACATTCAACTCACCAGAACAAGTCTGAATTTAAAAATAGAGAGAAAAGCAAAAAACAATGTGGCACATTGAACCAGTTGGCATCTATTAGTAATGTCACTCTTTAAACCAATGCCTTCTTTAACGTCCCTCAGTGACATCCATGCAATGTTTGGTAAAAGGTTAAACTTATTTGAGAGTTTGCTTGGTCTTAAAGTCAAATTTTGCCTCCTGGTTTAACATCTATTTTGTTTCTTCACAAAAAACAACTCTGGTCTGTGTTAATGGTCACAATGTCTCTCTCGCATCTTTTATGGAGCTTCTTTAAATGTTGCTAGAGCCAATCACACAAAACATACTTCACATGGTGACTATGATTAAGCAGTAATGTTAAAAGATGTCTTTTTTTGTACTGCGAAAAGAACCAGTGATCCCACATGACAGATAGATGTCCAGAGTTCAAGCGTCGTTCTCTTACTTCTGCAAAAGACAAACTTAGAATCCTGTTTGTTTCTCAGGCCGTGAAAGTGGCGCGCTCAGTGTGTGGCTTCAGCAGTAAGATTGAGGTTGAGTGCTGCTCCACAGCGGAGGGAAGAGAGGCAGCCACAGCCGGAGCAGACATCGTCATGTTGGACAACTTTCAGCCACAGGCACGACATTTCAAAACTCAGATGTTCAAGAAATAAAACTTCAACTGCAAAACTAACAAGCGTCCATTTCCACATTTCTGCTTTGCAGGAGCTTCATGTTGCAGCTAGAGACCTGAAGAACGAGTTCCCATCTCTTCAGATAGAAGCTAGCGGAGGAGTCACTCCTGAAAACTTAGCTGCATATTTCTCCTCACATGTAGACATTATTTCGCTGGGTTGCATTACTCAGGGATGCCCAGTTTCAGATTTCTCTCTGAAAGTTCAAAAGCCAGGTACAAGGAAGTGATTACTAAACTAACTGTTTTCAAATTGATGCAAAAATAACCAACAACATCAAAAATAAAACACTTGAACTTTTTGACTTTTGCAAAGTTACAACTACAAATGTTCATGTACTTTATGTGACACCACAAAGCAACACATAATTGAGTAGTGGTACTTCAGTAACATCAGTGCAAACAGTGAATCATGGTGGTGGCAGCATTATGGGGTGGGGATACTTTTCAAAGCAACATTTTTGGCCATTCTGGGAGAAAAAAAATACAGTTTAGCCTTTCAAAAATGGTGGGAAAATAGATTATTTCACTGGTAAATTATTATTTAACATAAATAGATTCATGTGAGCATATAATTCAGCAGAGCACTGTAAATAAAACAAAACTCTTTTGTTTATGTTGTGGAAAAGTTGCAGAGGTTGGATGTTGATTAATCACATCTTGTTTGTCATTTCAAAAGAAGAATAGAAACTGGATTTCTGAAATACTTCAGCAGAGGAACTGCAATCACAAGTTTAAACAGAACGAAGATGAGAAAAAAAAGAAGCAACAATTAAACTAAGATAAGTGTTTACCAGTACAAAACAGTGGATTGGGTTTTGCAGACAGGTGTTTCAGGGCTGTATTTATTGTTTATCTGTTTTTCTTTCTGGATTTCTGTAAGTTGTCTAAGCCTGTTTGAGTGTCACTTGAGTCTCAAAAAGCTTCACACACTTGTGTTTTATCTGTATGTACATGTCACTTAGTCTGTGCGTATTAGGCTATTTGTGCACATGAATTTAATCATTTGCATGTGGAGGAGCCTTCTTGAATTCATAATTATCACATTTGTGAGACTGAGAATGAGGAAATTTCTGTCAAATTTTTTTATTTGTGTAATTTGTAACTGTGTGAGTGTGTATTTTGTGTTGATAATTTCTAGATATTGTTGTGTGCATTTGAAGACAAATTCATGACCAAAGACAGGCAGAAAATGTTTTCAGTTCACAAATCATGTTTTGCACACATAAATATCCAAAGTTACACACAAACAGACTTGGATGGTTTACAAATCCAGTATTACATTTGCACAGATATTTATTTTCTCTCACCATCATCTCCCGGTTGGTGGTGAGTTTGTTTTACATCAAGAGGAGGTTTCAAAGTTTATTGTGAAAACAGTGGCTGATCTATGATCCCACCCAAAAGACTTGGCATTTATGGACATTTTTCAAGAAAAAGGCTTTTCTAAACCTAAACACAGCTGAAACATGTTTAGTCAAGAACATTCAGACATAAACAGATGCGTTGACAGGGAAGACATTTACATTTTAAGGCCCTTTGAAATAAAATCAACACAATCTGAACCAACTGTTTTTTTGAAAGAGAAATAACTTGAAATTTTCTATGACTGTGGGAAGTATTGGGGATCGAAGTCAGTTTATACAGCTAAGAATGGGGGAATTGAGTAATAGCGGAAGTGCCCCACCTACCTGCTAAGGAAACAGATTCATTTTTCAACACGCACTTCAAGTACTGCACATCGACACAGAAAGGCGGTGTCTGTAGTCTGAATTCATGACAAGATGTATGTGCCACGGCGCTTCTATCTGGTCATCTACATAATATTTTCAGGTGAGTCTTTGGTGTTTTTTTTGTTATTTACCTAAAACTATAATCAAAACCATAATTCACAAAATATGGGGTGAATTATGGTTTTGATCGGAAAATGTGGAAATCATCTAAATGGTTAAATTTGAAGTAACTAAAATAATCAATATGTAGTTTTTATTTTAAAGTTACAGCTATCCTTTTTACTGAAATTGTGACAATTTATGAGCTTGTTTCTTCTGTTTAAGTGGAAAGGAAACAGTGTAAACAAGAAGAATAAAAACAGGAACTCTTCACCACAAACGGGTGCATTTCATTCTTGTGTAAGCATCTTTGTTGTACCAAGCTGATTTTCTGCACCTTTAGAACAAACTGAGTATTGCCAACAGCTAAAAGCACAAAAAGCTTAATATTGTGAGAAAATTATTTGTAATTATTGCAATGGGTTTTTTTTCTGCGTTGAAAAGTTTTTTGGTGGGAGAGCTCAGCTGCTACAGAGCGATGTACAAAGGTGATATTGAATTATATTTACACGTCGGCCAGCCACTGAAGGCATTCGAATAAAGCGGTGACCATGAGGAGTTATTTTTTGTTTGTCTGAGGATCTCAATTATAGGATAGTGTTCATACTTCCTTCAAACAGATTCTACACCATTGCTCTAAAATAATTAATGACTCTTGTGAAAAATGTTTGTTAGGAAAATTATCTAAGTTAATTTACTTTTATTTGAAAGGTTATCTTTTCATATTATTATTCTGTGTGTTGTTTTCTTGACTCCTTTCTTTTATGGTATAGTCTTAACTGTTTTTCCTTAGGGGTTAGAAATGCTTATACATTCCTGTGTTAAAAGCTGTGTTAATCATTATGTGTCCTGAGGGGTGGATAGCGGTCATCCTTGAAGGATGTGTGACTATGTGAGATAGCCCAGAAGGATGCTTGACTGTTTGAAATAGCCAACCTGTTTGTTTGTTAACATAACAAAAGGCAGTTGGGGACTGAGAGCCAGCGGAGTTGATCCCAGACAGCGTTTGGCAGCGGTTCTCGGCGTCGGGCTCTTCTCCCCTCTTCTACAGAAAAATAATTTGTCTTTGGTTGATTCTTGCAGGTTGGGGAACAAAATAAACCCAACAATGTTTCTGTGAATAACTGATCAGAAGACGCACAATACTTTCTAACAACAAAGGCGGAGATCTGGAAAATGTTTATTTATTGTGGTAAACATTAAGTAGAAAAATTATTAGTCATTTTAAACTCTAAATGTGCACATAACTTTTCTTAACATTTTTGCTTATTGTGAACAGTACGATAGCAAATCTAATGAAGACAGTTCATTTTTCACAAAAGAACTTTTCAGTGTAAGAAATAATCTTAATAAAAAAGATTTTTTTAAAAAGTACCCTTCCTCTCCCAATTTACTCATAAAGTAGAGGTTGCACAGCTTTATATAATAGTTTTCACAATCTGTTCCAGCAATAAGTCATTCTGACTTATTTACACAACAGACTGAGAAAACTTTACTGGCTGCTAGTTTCTCATTTGCTAGACTAGCTTTTATTCAAACGTTAAATATCCCAATATTTAAGGATTGAATAAACCTTGCATATTTAAATGTGGTGATAATGCAGAAATAGTGATCATGACAGTAATTTTTGCTTTAATAAATGAAGGACAATGTTTAATTTATGCTTAAATGTTGTGTTTTTGGGTTCTATTGTTTTTTAAGCACACTTAATTATTGCATTTATGAAATGGCATGTGGGGGATGAAAATAAGTAGCTTTATTTATCTTGAAGGAGAGCATCCTTCATTACCATTTTAATGAAGTATATCTATGGTAAAAATGTGATAAATCGCAAGTAAAAATGTTTTTTTTGTTTTTTTTATATGTTTTATGTTATGTTGGTTGAACAGAGTAAAATAAGTAAATATTTCTTTTTAGCAAGTTTGGGAATAGTTTAAGAACTTACGTTGAAAACTGGAGATAACTTGATTATCTCTGAACCCATGTAGCACGTCTGCACCATGAGGTGAAATGGTGGTGTGAGAAGAGAAACCAACAACTCTCTCACACCACAGCTTTTTTTCTCTTTTGACTTCAGTGTTAACTTCTCTATCAAATGATGGTAATCACATTGGTCTCAGCTCACTTCTGTTTCTGCTTAAATGATTTCAGATCTCAATACATACACACTAGCAGCAATTTTCAAATTGCAGATTGATTTATTATGATTTATTTAATTGTTGAGCACCATTCATCTGAAGCACACCAGCTGCAAAACAAAAAACAATTTTGAGGATTAGTAAAAGTCCTAACTCTGAGAAAAAGCAGATGGGTTGTAACATTTCCCATGTGATGTTGTTTCCTATTAGCTACAACCTTTGCCTTTCCTAATTTTACTGATCACTAACTTTCTTGTGCTTTCATGGCTTTCTATCTTAGCTTCTGTTTTTGACAACTGAAAACTGGAGACAGTAACTCCAGAAAGTCATTGTATAACTCTGGTATTAAAGTAGTGAATGTTCTGTGTGGTTTATCATACATTTATTCTAAACTGGTTCACTTCATGCAGCACACCTACTCTGTTTTATCATTATCTCAGTTTGTGCTGTTGCTTACGTCTCTGCTCTAAACAGGATTTCCTGGAAAACTAACAAAAAAGTCCCAAAGAAATGAGAAGGCTTACATTTAAAACTATACATTTTACAGTTCACTCCACATTGCAATGTTCAGATTATTTGATAGCTATATATACCAGCTTGCACTTATTAAATTTCTTTTGAGAAGATGATAAAGGTGGTTGATCAGATTAATTTACAATGAAGACAACTTAGAAATCCAGAAAAGGAACTTTTCTCCTATTTTTGTGAGCTTGTAATGTAATGTATCTTTCGTACTTTTCAGCTGCAGCCATCCCAATTACGTCAGCTTTCAACATTGATACAACAAGCTCTACCGTTCGTCGTGGCGAGCAGAAAGATTTCTTTGGATACAAAGTGCTTCAGTACATGTCACCCAAGAACAAAGGGTGAGTTTGCAGCTCCAGTTCTCTGGTTCTGAGAAAATTCATAGTAACGTTAAGCACAGTCAGTCAACCGGAGATAAGCATCTTTTAAACAATTTTCTGTAAGAAGCTTGTGGTTTAAGCTGTTTTATAATATTTCATTATCAACAACACCTTGGTAATTAGCAAAAACTTTTCTATCATGTGTTTGCTTATATCTTGCTGATATTTCTATGATTCACAGGGTGATCGTTACTGCACCGCTGCGGCGAAATGGGTCAGGGGGGATTTCCAAGCTCAACCAAGATGGCACTGAATTGTGGTTCGATGGTATGCATTCTGTCATCTAACCAATACTGCATTATAAAGGAGAAGAAAAATGGCTTCCAACAGTACTGATGTTTGAAATATAACTCAGAATATCGGAAAAAGTTGGAATGAATACTGGTTGCAATGTAAATATGATTCAATCATTTAAAACTCGTACTTTTCTAAAATTTTAAATATGCATGACTTCTTATTTCCTTGAAGTATAAAGTGATGTGATCTACTCCACTTCCCAAAATGGAAAAGACAAAAGAAAAGGCTAGTCAGACAAACTCATATTAGGTATCAGCTGTATCGAGTAAGCAGGCATCAAACAACCAAGTGGAGTCAAGAGAATATTTTTTCTAAAAGCAGAGATCAAAGTATTTCAGTGAATAACGTGGGTATAAATCCAAACAGAAAACAACAACACACATGGCATCACAAAGAGCTGGAACAAAACAGGAGGTAGAGAGCAGGGGAGATAAATTGAAACGTAGCTTCATCATGACCTGAACTCCTTCTTCCTCATTTGCTGTGTCACCATTAAGACTTGTGACTTCTTTCAGTCAAGGCTTTTTTATTGTCCAGTCAACTCAGATTTGAACAAATAAACAGTAACAAGTTGTCCATATTCTCCTTTACCTGAGCAGTCGTTCTCAGTAGCTCCTCCAGGGTTATTATTGGTTGCTACACTGATTAATACTCGTTTTGCATTAATTAAGTAAACGGTGATGTCTTGCCAGGTTTGCAGTATTGCCATGTTTTCATTCTCAGATGACAGTTTGAACAGAGCTCTTTGAGCTGTTTCTAGTTTGGGATATTGTTTCATCCAGTTTCAAATTTCCCCACACCTTTCTGTCTGATCTGTCTGGTGTGCTCCTTGGTCTTCATGATGCTGTTTGCTCACTAATATTCAGTCATATTTACGTTGAGACTACACAACAATTTTAATAATATAAAACTTTTTCTGATGGCACCTTTCTAAGACTCAAAGCCACCTTTCAGAGACGAATAAAAAGTCAAACAAGTTTTGATAACAGTTAAAATCTTTGGACTATTTATTAGTTATTTGACTAGCAAATGTGGTTGGTTGCTCTGTATTAGGTGAATGAAATACATTGAGTTTGTAGCTGTAGTGTGATAAAATGTGAAAAGGTTCCATGAGTCACACTGTAAAACGTTGGTTTAGAAATGTTCCTCTACATTCATTTCCTGTGATGGGGCGGCACTATATTGTCCTCATCCAGCCGTTGAAGACCGATGTTGTTCGTACACTTGAAATTGCCGGCAAGTGAACTAGATGTGCTCAACGTTGACTACAGACCCAACAAAATAAAGTTGAAACTGTTCAACTCTTGTTGCTGTTTGCTGTCGGGTAAAAAGCATTTCGCTGTTCATAACTCCCCATGTGTGACGCGCTGCTGTGAACTAGATAGCCCTCCGCGGGAAAGATCCCTCCGCGGGAGAGAGGCGTTATGTAGCTTAAAATGTTGAGGTTAATCGCGCGCTAACATGTTGACGTTGACAGATCCTGTGTGAGCGAGAAGAAGGAAAAACAAAACAGTTGAGACGTCCTACCCTCAAACAACTTCTGCAAAAATACCAGAATATCTGCATATTGTAGGTGAACTGAACTAAAAAGCACTTGTGTTGCACATAATGCTAGCTGAGAGATAAACCGAAGTCAGCTTTCGCAAACAAACGAGAGTAGCTCAATAGAGACACATGCAAATATATTTTCGCACACCAATACAATGTTTGTTTTAAAAAGTACTTACCTGGTGAAAGTCACTGTTGACCCGCCCTCTGGCCTGTGAAAGTTTGCCTCCAGCCGGTAAATATCCCACAATGCAACTGTACATTAAAAGTTTACAGTACAGCTACATTTCCGCACGTGACCAGCGGTCCAATCACGTCCCATATATGTTCCATACACATTTCAGATTACAGTAAAATGCTGTATTTTCAAAACCCAGCCACCTTAATATACAATATTTTCATCTGTAGTTTTTACAGCCATTTGTTACAGTGCATTTTACAGTTCAAGGGATAGCAAACCATATCTGCAGGCAATAACGCTTTTTATATTTATAACTTAAGTACAGCTAATTTGGTTTCATTTGTACAATAGAGCATTCGGACCACACTAAGAGAATATTTTTGAACTTACAAGAATAAAGTGGTAAAAATAAACAAGCGGCCTTACCGCTGCATAAAACTGAGAACTGGTGAGTATCTTACAAAATTATACTTTGGTATTAGTTGTAACAGTAAGGAAGTACTTTTAACAGATCAACAGATTATTTTCAGCAGCAGAACTTTGACATGATTGTGCAAGAAACTGTGTCTATTTCAAAATTAGACTTTCTATTCTCCTAGACTAGATGCACTCTGTTGTACATCTAGTCTGTGATGAAATTAAAGTAAAAAATAAATGAACAATCTAGCTAATATTTGTCTACCTACAAAACGAGGTTTTTACAACCTTGTTGTAAAACAACCTTGTTGTAAAAACTGATCAGTTTGTCACTATAAATTATAACTGAAACAAAATGTTTTACAGATTCTTCACATTCGTATTCACCCAAGCATCTTGGCTTGTCAATAACCACGGATGCAGAATCTCGGTTTATTGTAAGAAACTACACACTATCTGGGATATTTTAGAACAAAACTAATGTAACAGTGTTCAGGCCCATTTCTCTAACATGCTTTGCTCTGCTTTAGGCCTGCAGTCCAAGCCTCGCTCATCCATGCGATGAGAACGTCTACCTGAACAGTTTGTGTTACAACATTTCTGATGATTTAAAGCCGCTGTCATCTTTCATGCCTTTGTTCCAAAGTAAGGCTGTGCTGTTTTTAGTATTTATATGCTGATTTATATGGTGTTCTAATGTTCTGTACTTTTCTACAGAGTGCATAGAAAAGGTTGTTAACCTTGTGTTTCTGTTTGATGGATCCGAGAGCATGACCACAGAAGAATTTGATCAAAATAAAAAATTCATAATAAACATAATGAACCAACTTAAAAACACATCTTTCAAGGTCAGTGCACTCTTTCAGTATTTAGTTAAAGTATTAGTAAGTCAAATTAAATCAATGTTGTATATTTTTCTTTAGTTTGCAGCAGTTCAGTTCTCAGCAGACTGCAGGACAGTGTTCAACTTTAAGGATTATGATGATGGTACTGCTCAAGGCAAACTTATCAAAGAAGAGCATATGAAGAGTCTCACCAACACACACAAAGCCCTTAACTTTACACTGTAAGTAAGCATGTCCAAAGTCCACACAGTATACACATTAGTTCCTGCAGATTAAGCTGAGTGGTCTCCAGCAAAACCTAAATGCCAGCAATTCTTCAGGCACCATCTCTTGGAAAATGAAACTGCAGGAGCCTCAAAAGATGCAAATAAAGCTGTGGTGATAATCACAGATGGAGATCCAAGTGATCTGGATAAAAATTTCAAGAGTGTTGAAACTTATAATCGCAAAGAGATCATTCGAGTGGTTATTGGGGTGAGTTTGAACATATTTTTCTGTATGACTAAACTAAAAAATGTGGTTGTTTTATTAGATTTTTTTGTTTCTGTTAAATTTCTTGTGAAACTGAGTAACAGTAATTGCTCATCACACTACACAGTGATATAGTTTTGCCACAACACTGCTTTTAAATTCTCGAACAAATTTTTTTTTTAGCATTTATGTGTTTGCCTTTCTGGCTTATTGTCACATCCTCTAACGTTTGTCTACTTCAACTATGCTTTTACAAGTCTATGCAATCTGGTGATTAAGGCATACTTCCTCAACCCCAGCCCACCATCATTATAAAAACTGAAAAAGAACATAACTTCTAGCATTTGCTTAAAACAGTTAAGAGTGTAGTTAGGACATTTCAACCCAACCACCTGGGCTGAAATAAAAAAAAAGGTTGATTGAACAAGTGTATGTTCTTGTTACAAACACTTGTTTGATTAATCCCATCACTGCAGTTAGCACACTGAAGGGATTTGCCCTGCAGCAAAAAAAAAGCTGGATGAACCAGATACTGACCAAGTGTATGTAAACTTCTAAATTTGAAGAAAGTTAGAAAAATAATCTGCAAAAAATGTTTTGAATAAGTTTTATAACATTTAGCAAATAGAAATAATTTTGGTCATTCTGACTGACCTAAAATAAGAGAAGTTTGGCCTGATTTAACTTCAGACAACGAGAAAAAATGTGTCTTTTTTCTCACTGTAAGTTTGGTTTTAATTGCATATAGCACAGATTCACATCAAAAGTACTTTCAAGGTATTGTATGATTGGTTCATAAGCTGTATTTTCAATCTCCACAAAGGTGTTGCAGATTACTAATCACTGGTAAAACTAGACCATTAATACAGACCAATTAAAAACCACTTTTCTCTTCAGAAGATAGTTTGCTTCCTTGTTTCAAATACCAAATTGTAAATAAAATGGCAATTTTAACTGCGTAAGATCTGAAGTCATGTACTATTCTTTTTTTTTTTATTTCAGGTTAAGGTTCGAAATGATACAATCAACAAATTAAAAACAATTGCATCAGATCCAAAAGATAAAAATGTGTTCAAAATTGAAAACTACGATGGACTTACTGGCATACTGGAAAGCTTGCAAAAACAGATCTTCGCTATAGAAGGTGATTTGTTTTTCCCTGTTTTATTTTGCAGTGTTGATTAACGAGATGCTAATGACTTTTCCCTGTTCATGTGGTAGTGACACTTTTTCCTCTCCTATAATTTTTAGGATCTAGTAGAACTCGATCTGACATACTGAATGATGAAATGGCGCAAAGTGGTTTCAGTGCCGTCTCACACAAGGTAAATTATGCATTGGTTTAGTTGGCATATTTAATGTTTTTGTTTTTATCTGGCTTGCAGTTTTGTCAAACATTTGTATCCTCTTTTGTTCCTGAGAGTAGAGTCATAGGGGTCTTCTTGACATAAATAAACAAAAGGAAAATTCTAGAAAAATCTGAATTAAAAGAAATACCTTGATGAGTCTCCACTAAAAGATCATTCGTCACAGATAAGTCAGGATGTGTGTGTTCTGATCAAACATTTGTGTTCACAGGACACCTTGATTCTGGGCTCAGTGGGTTCAAAAACCTGGCGTGGGACTCTCAATGAGTATCAGAAACAAAATAAGGTGATTTCAGACCCAGAAATGCAAGAGGCCTCCTACATGGGTATGTTAATTATTTGCTATTTTACTCAGATGATTTATTTTTGCAGAAATATAATTGAATAATTCAATCAGTTTCAAATTGACTGTTAGTGTCATATATTGTGCAAAAAAGAAATTTATGACAATTTGTTGCTACTCACATTTGTAGGATACTCACTTTCTGTTGGAGAAAGAAATGGCATTTCTTTCTATTTTACGGGCGCTCCACGTTTCAACCACACGGGGCAGGTTGTAGTTTTTCGACGTGATGAAGACCAATGGCCATTAGTCGAAAGAATAACTGTCGACCAGGTTGGGAATTGTAGTTTTTTTTAATCTATTATATAAACAAGTAACATGAACATGGGTTGCTCATTTTAAAGCTTATGTCTGCCTGTGAACCTATTTTGCTTGTGACTTTTAGAAAGAGTCAAGAATTTCCAGACAAGATTCTGTTAGTAAATAAACACAAATTATTATATTATAGATGATTATTTATACTGAGAGTCAAAGTTTCAGTTTTGCAGTTGCAGAGAGGGACACAGAAAACCTCCTTGAATTTACAGCTAATTTTTCAGAAAGTAAAAGCTCAGGAAGCAACTATTTATCTGTACCTTCCAGATTGGTTCCTATTTTGGTGCGGAGCTGTGCTCTGTTGACATTGACTCAGATGGTAACACTGATTTCCTGCTGGTTGGCGCTCCAATGTTTTTCCTTCCTGAGGAGCGAAAAGAAGGGTCGATCTACATCTACGCCCTATCTGATGAGGTACATCAATTGTTGAGGCTCAGATCAAAAGTCACTTTTGCATGAGTTTTTTATCAAGTTAAATATTGTCCTTATTACTTGCAGATCAAGTCAGGGTTGGTGCTTCAAGTGAAAGCACCATCCATGGGAAGATTTGGCACCACTATAGCCAGTCTTTCAGATCTGAATGGAGATGGTCTCCGAGATGTTGCAGTGGGAGCCCCCCTGGAAGAGAACAACGCCGGAGCAGTCTACATCTACCTTGGACACAAAGAAACAGGGATGCGCAACATTTCCAGCCAGGTGATAAAATCATATAAGATTCTGTCAAGTAAAAAAATGCATTAAAGTTAATGCATTTTCTGAAATTGAACGAAGTCACATTTGCTGATCAGTTTGTCATTTTTTTAAAGAGTTTAACATGCTTTAAACTCTTGTGTTTAATACAAGAACACACAGCTGAGAGAGAAAGGTGAAGAAAATTGAAATGAAATTAAAAATGTTTATCATAAGTCCAACTGACACTGTGCCAGAATAATTTTTTTAATGCATGGCATAAACAAAGTAAGCTTTTTAAGAGTAACAGAAGGTCATACCCTCTCTGACACCAGGCTAAAACTGTCCACCAGTCCCCAGGATCTGCACAGCTATTCAAATGTAGCACACTCATTGCAAAATTGGGACTCCACATGTCCTCATGAAGGCTCTCATTATGCTACTGCTTTGCATGTCCCACTGTTGACAACAAAGCTCGTTGTCAGCAGTGACAACGTGGTTTGTCACTGTTGCTTTCCTGCCATACTGCATGGGTACTGCTGCAAGTACTACATCTGCATGTTTCCACACAAGTTACAGAATTGCCCTACATACCATATATGAAAGATTTCTGCACAGCTGCAAGTTTCAGTCTCACGGCGGAAGACAAAAACTATCAGGACCTTCCTTCAACTCTTCAGCAACATGAGAGGAGAAGAGATTTTCTCATCAGAGCACTCTATGCACATATCTCAACAGCTGGAGTAAAAAGGAATTGTGTAGACAACATCCTAAATTATATTTTTACTATGATCAATTAGCTTATTATACAATGATTACAATGACATTTCAGCATAATTGTGCCATCAATACACTCTTCTCTTAACAACTGTGCTGCTTTCACAGCATCAAGCACTGCTTCAAAATACAAGAAAACAATCACATGGTCATCATTGATAAAGCCATAAGACCTCAGCAAGATCCTTCAGTGACCCTCCTCATTCTGTAAAATTTACAATGATTTGTTGCAATATTAGAACAAAGTGCTTGGTAGATTTTAAGCGTAAAAATGCTTACATTTGTTTTTTCAACCACCTTTTCTGACATGGTGTGTGGTGGCTTCTATGAATATGGATTATAGGAAGCCAAGGAGAAAGTTGTCTCCGGAAATCAGAAAATTACAGACATGCCAATGATACCATAAGACCATATAAATGCAGCTTGCAACTCCTATGACTAGAATAGCATATATTATTCATATTATTTAGAAAGTTAAGCTCACAACACTTTAGCTAGCCTCTCTGGCCGCAGGGTGACAAATTGAAGAAAAGGTTAACACAAATGGCAACTGAAGAGTTCAGAACGACTTTAGAAGAAATTAAAGGTGAACACCAAAGTCAAGGTACATCAGTGTCACATCACACCATCTGTTGTTTGAGCGAAAGTGGACTTCATGGGAGACAGCTAAGGAGGAAACCAAAGCATGTAAAAGCAAAACTACCACAATGCATGTTGGCAGGTCACCAAGTTACTGGAACAACTGGAGTGAACCAAAACACCTGTGAACAGGTGTAGAAATCTCATTGACAGCTACAGAAATAATTTAATTTCTTCAAAAAGAAATTTGTACCTGTAACTTAACAAAATTTAAGTTACAGGTACCATCACTTTTTTCCATGCCTGTTGAAGTACTTTAAAAAGAAACAGAATTCGGCAGCAATAATGTCTGATTTGCATTGGTTAATTTTAAGTAATTTTTTTATGTATTATTACTTTAGTCAGTTTCAGCTATTTTGACGTATGTGCATGTATGTGTGTGCCAGTTTTAATAATGACATTTCTGCTTTTCCAGAGAATCACAGGAGCACAATTTGATTCTGGATTGAGATTTTTTGGTCAGTCCATCAATGGAGACATCGACCTCGGAGAGGATAGGTTGCCAGATATTGTGGTGGGATCCCAAGGTGCTGCTGTTGTCTTAAGGTATAACTTTGTTAATGCACCACTACACTCTTCAAGTTAAATGAGTTGTTGAAATGCAAACTTTGTTTCTAGAAAAAAGGCTATTGATGAAGTTAGGTTTGAGGCTTTTAAGGTACTTGTAGTTTTTACCAAATTAAAACATCTGACGGTAAGAAAAAAAAGCAATCTGAAAAGTTCTTTGTTTAAAACTGAACAGACATGTTAAAACAATAACTTGGTGAGGGGAGTTGCATCAAAACTTTTCACAAATCCTTTATTTGGTCTCTTTCAGGTCCAAGCCTGTGTTAGATGTCAAGGCAAAGCTGTCATTTTATCCCAGCGTGATAAGCATTCAGGAAATCAACTGCCTGGATAAGACAGAGGACAAACCTTTACCAATGACTAACATAACAGTTTGCTTTGAAATGGTAGAAGTAACAAACAGCACTGCAGGTGAGCATTAAAAATGGCATTTTCACCTACAGCAACTGCAGGTTTGTCATTTTAATGGTACACTGTTATCCAATAAAGGGCCAGGAATCAAGATCTCATTCACACTCAATGTGGATCCAATGAGGCCATCAAGTCGAGGTTTCTTCATTGAAAATAGAGCAAATAGGCGGACTATTATACATACCCATGAGCTGACTGACAAGGAAACATGCTTCAACTATTCTATCTCCATGAACGTATGAATAATCATAAGACTGAAACCAATCTTACTCAATGTTTCTGGTTTTGTTTCTTCAAGAACTGACCACTCCGTTATTTCTGTTTTTCAGAAATGCATACAAGACACATTAACTCCTGTCATCATCAAGTTAAACTTTTCCCAAGATTTCAGTGAGAATTCAACAGGCATTCTTAACATAGACAGCAATAGACGGGCTATGGTTGAGGTGGGTCCAGTAACCGAAGGAAGAGTAAAGAAAACAATCAAGATGAATGTTTATTCTTGGAGTTTTGCCAAAGTTGTATTCAGTTCTGCTCATTGGACAATATACATTTTTTACAGGTTCCTTTCGAAAAACACTGTGAAAAAGAAATCTGCATTGCTGATCTTGAAGTGGATTTTAATTTTCAGTATGTATTTTGAGAAAAAAAAAACAAAAACATATACATGCATCTAGAAAAGGTATTGTTTTGCTGCAAACAACTCAACCGAATTTAATAAGTACTTTTCCTGTTTTAGGTCTGAGGAACTAATAGTGACAAAAGATAGCAGCATCCAAACATGGATAAAACTTGAGAATAAGGCTGACGACTCATACAACACCAGCCTGACGATGCTCTACCCAGAGGGCCTCTCGTTCTCAATGTTGGATCAAAAAGGGGTAAATTAAGTCACATTATTTTCTGGTTGTTTTTGTTGATTTCGGCCTTTTTTTTTCAGGATGGAAAGCTTATATAAAATCTGGAAAGAAGTTTAAAAACAGAAATTGAATCCGAAAGTTTGAAATAACTGTACAAATCTTAGGGATGAATTGCTTAAATGAATGCTATGATTACGATTTCTCGTGCTTAGGACTACTATTGTAATAAGAAACTTTAGTTTGCTGGGTGGCTCAGTTGATAGACCAGGCGCACCATGTGCACCAGGCGCACCAGAGATTAAAGTTATCAAAAATAAAACTAATTGTTGGCCATAATTGCTTTATTAAAGTAATAAAAAGGGTAAAACTTCCAAGAGGGTGAATACTTTTCATAGACATTGTACATGTAAAATGGCCTCAGCCCACTGGGTTTGAATGAGAAATTGTACACATTATTTTGAAGAGTACTAATTACAAATTGTAATTGTAAATGAACACTGAATACAAGCTCTGGAAAAGCCTGTTCATCCCCCCAAAAAAACCCAGAAAAGTTGATTTTGTTTAAAATCTGTTTACTTCATCCTTTTTGTGCCACACAAGTAGAGGAAACTGCAAAACGTTTTTTGACGACTTGAAACCGACACAGGATGTGTCGGTTGTCTCGGCAGAGTTTTCACAACTAAATGCTTGAAAAAAATATGCCATGTCTTTCAGAGACGTCTTTGAGGGTTTGGTGACTCTTATGTGTGCTTCGTTAAAGACAGATTCTGTCAATGCAGCTTTGCTTTGAAACACGGAGCTTTATGGCAGTTAAGCTTGATTTAACTTTTCTCTCCTCATCAGAACAAGAAACTAACTCAAATCTGCGCTGATCAAGACAAACTTAATGAAACCGTTTGTGGCATAAGCCTTCCTGTATATCGCAGCAAATCCTCTGTGAGTAATACCTCATCCTCCTTAGCAACACACGAGAGTTTGTGAAGAGCTCTCTGAGTGACAAACTTTCACAGCCTGTCTTTTTACCAGAACCAAATTTAATGCAATTTTCTCTTGTCCCATAAAAGGCCGAGTTTATTGCTACTTTTCGCACCAAAGATTTTGAGTGGAATGACACATTGCTGATGACAATCTTTGCAAAAAGGTACATAAAAAAAAGCAATTCCCAATAGAGGGAAGCTAAAGCTTTTCTGGGAAGCAAAATTTTCTATGTTCAACACTTACAAGATTTTATTCTTTGCATTCTTAGTGAAAATTCAAACTCCAGCAAGAGTTCTTCTATGACCAAAAGTATTCCTGTAAAATATTCTGTTGATATGGCAATAGCAGTGTAAGTAGTGTGACACACATCCACAGTATCTTCAGTGTTATACCAAGGTTTCCTGTCTTTTGCAATAGTTGGTTTTTGTTTTTTCAGAAATGACACATCTGATGAAAACCTGAATTTCACTCCAGAAAATTATACAACACAAAAACTGTCAACTGTATACAATGTAAGTGATTTAAAATACAGTGCAATTGTATCACTTTGAAGCAGAAACACATCAGTTTATTATAGAAAAAACATACCTGTTTATTCGTAATGATGTGGCTTCTTATTATTTACAGATACGCAACACATATTTTAAGGATTTTCCCATCAGTGTATTCCTCTTCTTCCAAGACAAACTGGAACACGACTTTGAAATGAACAACTATGCAGTTATTGTCGAGCCAGTAAGTTTACAATACTTCTCATTTAACTTCTACTACTTCTCTGTTTTGCAAGCTTTTAATATTTACATTTTTATCGTGTTTTTAAGAACAAAACTCAGTGCTCAACCTTTTCCACCCCAAAAGCTCAGGTTAGTGTAACAGACTGGTACTTAAACTTTGTTGTCAATTATGAGTAAATCACTATGTAACACAAAGTATGATTTTGTTGCAGGACTGCCCATGGAAAGAAAACTGTGTGGCCGTAAAATGCGATACATTTATCTTAAAAAACCATTCAGATGTTTACATTTCCCTCTTGGGGAATGTGCATTTCCGAAATCTGAAGAACTATGAATCGGTATGTACTGTAATGAGTAAAGACAAAATACACCACATGTACCTGTGGCATCCCTTCAACCATCCTGTCCTGCTCTTTCTTTAAAGAATATGCCCTTTCTAAAAAAATATACTGGAGTCCACGGAGAAGTCATATTTAACAGCTCTATAAAAGTTCGCTATGATGGCAGTAGATACGTGTTGAAACAAGAGGTATGTATGTATTGGTTCAACTGCTGAGACACCTTCTCAGAGATGCAGTTTTGAAGGTGATTGTAATCCGAGTTTTCGTTTCAGAAAAACAAGAACTACGCAGTAGAGAAATCAGTATGTACAACTCTCATCGATACCTATGCAGTTAATACAAATTAATCTTTTTATGTAAAGCATAATCTGTTTTTTCTCTGCTAACAGACTGGAGTTGTAGTTGAGTTTACGGTGCCTCAAAATATGAATCTGATCATTGCAACTGGTGTGATACTGGGATTTATCCTTCTGATCATACTCACAATCATCATGTGGAAGGTGAGATTTCTATGTCCTGCTTTGGAGCCTGTTGGGAATTAAGACATGGTTTTGGTGCTTGGTCTAATGGTTGCATTTGTGCCTGTCCTGAGCAGTGTGGCTGCTTCAAGAGGAAAACCATTGAGGATTTCAACGAGGAAATGGCAAGAACCTCATCTGTGTCATCTCATAATGAATTTGAACAAGAAGAAGAGGAAAAAAAACCTATTAATGTAGACGAGGACAAAGACAAACCCTCAGATTAACCTGAAGAAAACTGTAAAACAGTGGATTTTTAGGTTCTTAACCAGCTCAAATCTGACAAAATTTAGAGATTATTTCTTATATTTACAGTTTTTTTCTTCTCTCTTTTTTTCTTACATTTTCAAAAGAGTAAAATGGAAATTAACAAATTAGACAATTTGTGTGTCTTGCAATGAGTGATCAGATTTAATTGAGTCTGAAAGCAGAGAAACAAAACCAGAATAGTTAAGTACTTAGGGATAATGGTTTAGTAGCCTAATGGAGTCCCATCTTCACTGACCTCTCTTTTTCAGTAAGATACACTCTCATGTTGCAGCAGGTGATTCAGTGGATGGTCTTCTAATAAAATGAGGGGCACTCAATTTCAGCTTTTTAAGATGTAACTGGTATGGGAGCTTTATTTTCATATTTGTTTCATATCTATATTAAAGTGAGAGAAAGAAAGAAAAAGGCCAAAATACAATGTATTAATGTATTAATTGTATAATTTATTTCATTTCTTAGATTCAGGTGTTTATTTCCTATCAACTAACCTTTGAAGACTGATTCCAACATACATAGTTGCTCATTGTACACCTGTGTTTGGCTTTATTACATTCTAGCACCTGCCATTGTGTGTGTGTGTATGTGTGTGTGGGTGTGTGTGCGTGTGTGTGCGTGTAAATTGCTGATTGCTAAAGAAATGAAGAATGACAGCTTTTATTTATCATCAATCATTATGTAGTGATTCAGTCATATGTTGTTTCACACTGGAATTAAAGCATTTACATTAACCTAATTTCAAATTAAAGACTCTACATCATCAGTGCTTTTTGGTCAACATGTTATTTGTGTAGCATTTTGAAAATGCATTAAATAAGTTATTAGTCTTTTACTGGAAATAGGTTTTGCTTTTGAAGTTGTCAGTTTTAATGAAATGTTTTAAGTGCGCTTAAAACCTGATAGAATATTTACACATTCAAATTCAATAACTTAGAATACTAATAAAAACCTTATTTATTTCAGCTTTATTTATAAGCTTATTTTTAAATTGCTCTTATAGTGTTTTAAATTAAGGCTTTAACAAACTGATACATAGTAATTTGTATTTACTATGGTGATTTTATTATCATTATTATTGTTATTATTAATATTATTATAATTAATACACATTTAAGTTTACAACATTAAATCAGACCAACAAAAAACAGTTAATGCAGAACAGAGGGCCTAATGAAACTTATGTTTAACTCCACCATAAAGGTTATTTTCAGCAGGTAGTTTTAATCTGACAAGCCTCATCAAAATGCATATTCTAATTTATTGAATACTATTGTACACAATAGGCACATTACCTTTTTGTCTGGCAGTAAGTCAGTCTTATATAACTGATCAAAAGGTATGCTTGTTGGCATTACAGCAGGCACAAAGGATCAGTTTTTTATTTTTTATTAAATAAACATGAAGAATATTGTCACATTGATGTAATTCTCATTAATGTATGGAGATGGAAAATATGTTTTACCACAGTAAAACCAGAGCAACCATGACATCTAGTGACATGATTTTGAAACTGCAACATTTTGAATCCCAGCCAAAGAGAAAGTTAAGGTTGCTGTGTGAACAACATGAGCTGTAAGCTTTGCGACAATCACTAGTCGTTGAGTTTGCTTGGTTGCCATCGCATTAGTTTTATTTATTCATTTTCATAAACAAAACATGACCACTAACTGCTGTACAAACATAATTTAATTACATATATTTTATTAGTAATTTGATGGCCAACAATTGTTTGGCCAAACATTAACTTACTGCCCAATACCAGCCGATACAGCACAGGAAAGTGGAACCTCACTTGGTAGTCTCTGCTCAATCCAATAACATCAGTCTTGTGTCTGATATTAATCTTTGACTCTAATCAGGATGTATTTTTTCTGCTTTAAATGTGCTTTAATTGTGTAGGAATAAGATTTCTTTCAGCATCCAAAACTGGACAGAAATGCTTTGGTTCAGATTTCTCCAAGAAAATACAAATAGTGAGTAAATTTTCAATTAGTCCTGCTGCAAGTTAGAAGAAATTAAAAAGGATGTCTATGTCAAATTAATTAACCAGTTTAAAAGCAGGTCTTCCAGAAACATTGACCACTCGTGAATGTTTTCATCCAAGTCGTTCCTGAAAGAATTAAGTGCAATGGCGACACACAATGTTGTTTACTTTATTACAAACTTAGCAGAAATTGTATAAAAAATATCCACAGCATTAAACAAACAGGAAATTGTGGTTTACAGGAGGTAAAGAACAGAAAAAAAAGAAAAAAAATTCCTGTGAAGCGTCCATCTTTACAGTACACAGTCCACCGGAGTCACTCTTTGAACTTCCACTCCTGACGACACATAGGGCACTGCTGCTGGACTTGCTGGGAGTTCAGCCACTTCAGGATGCAGTGCATGTGGAAACAGTGAGAGCACTGACCCCAGACCAGTGGGCAGTCGTCTCCAGGAACTTTACCTGCAAAATAAGAAATATATTACAAAACCATTAAGAGTGCACATAACAGAGGTACATGATCTAAACCCACAGATACAATGCTAAATACAAAGCCTTTATTTCAGCGTATGATGTTATTGGCAGTCATGGCACCACAAACATTGTCATAGTAAAGTCTCCTTTTTTCAAGCATTTTTGACTGGCCTTTAAAATTATGAAAAGAAAAAAACTTAAGGGAATGTGGACTGATCTCAGCTGATAAGGTCAGTATAGCAGAGAACTGGCCATCTTTAACAAATTAAAGAAAATGAAATGAACTTCACCTTGAAACACTTCACAAGGCAGCTACATACAGGATGATGCACGTGAATGTATTTTGAATAGTTAGTCACCCTTACAGTGTATTTCAACTTTGTTATATTAAAAACTCGATGCCCTGAGGATACAAAGGACCGAGTACCTGTTATTCAATATTTAGCCCAGACCTACTTTTCTGTTTCGCTATTTATCTCTAAATGTGGTCACAATTCTTTTGTCTAATATGTACATTAGGGTTTAAAATATTCAAGTGAATGGGTTTGATGAGTTGTAAGGAAACTGAGCCAAATGTTTAGAACATGAAGGGTATTTGGACTTTCGGCTGACATTAAGGGGTAAAGCAGACAGGCAGTATGTAGGACAGCAGCCCCCGACTCAGTTACTCACAGTCCGGACAGCAGCCGTTGAAAGGCATCCTGCAGATGCCGCAGTTTTCATCGTTAGCCACCCAGGACCAGGAGGCCACCCCGCTCCACTGCCTTATCTTCACCTTCATTCTCTCCGAGCTGCTGTTCGAACCCGAGTCAAACGCTGCGGCCCACAGTCCAGCTTATCAATAAATTACATATCAAACATAAAACAGTTGGGTCTCTGTAAGTAGTGTCGACTAATTCTACGCTAGTCAGCTATATTGAATTTAATGACTTCTTCTTCGCTTGAGCTATTTCTTTTTCGGTTTTTGGCGGTTGGCTGGCAAACAGCTTTTAGGTGCATTAGCGCCACCTTCTGAATTGGAGTGGGGATCATAATTTATTTCTTACCACCGCTTTCTGATATAACTTATTTTATTGTATTTTATTTATTTATTTATATATAGATATTTAAATATGGGCCATTAGCTGGTTTCCAGGATGCCAGGAGCCAAACCCGACATAGGAAAAATAAGAAGTCCTTCATCCTCCTACCAGAAGGGGCAATATTTTTGGAGGAAGTAAGTAGAAACCAAACGGCCAGGAAAGAGTGATAAGGATAAGATTTGGGCATACAGGACTTAACTAAACACTTTTTAAAATACAAAAGCATGCTACGGGTAAATGTGAGGATTGTGGAAAATATGAAACAATAGAACATGTTATATTAGAATGTAATAAATATGAAAGAGAGAAGTTATATGAGGAAAGAGTTTGAAAGTATTAAGGGAAAAATTAATTTAGAAGATATTTTGAGGTAGAATTTGGAGAGTAAACATAACATAACATAAATAGTTGTTCGATTTTTAAAAGAAAATTAAGTTATTTAGTAGAATTTGATTATAGTAGGTATGTTGGTCAATGTGTGTATGATATAGATGAGTACATAAGTATGTATGTGTGTGTATGTATATAAATAGGTATAGAAAGGATAAATTTATTTTGTAGAAGTTTGTATGTATGAATATATATATATATATATATATATATATAGAGAGAGAGAGAGAGAGAGAGAGAGAGAGAGAGAGAGAGAGAGAGAGAGAAATAAAGAGAGAGAGAGAAAGAGAGAGACAGAGACAAAGAGAGAGAAAGAGAGAGAGAAAGACAGAGAGAGAGAGAGAGAGAGAGAGAGAGAGAGAGAGAGAGAGCGTTAGACCAATATGAACCACACTCCATACCAGTAAGTGGCGGTAATGCTAGTAGAAGTTTGTTGCCAACCGCCAATAAACTCAATAAGAAGAAGACGAAGAAGAACCAAACGGCCTTTTTCCAGCATAACTTCGGTTTCAGTCGTTTATTACATTATATTGCTGAGTTAAGCGCATGAATTAATTGCTTGATCGTGTTTACGCGTTTTATTTTGACTTCAAAGGAATACAGCTACTTCAAGAAAGTGGAGTCATCCCACGTAAACGGTAATTTAACGGGATAGTATTAAGTAGATACATAAACAACAGTCTCACGTCAATCCTTTTTTTAAACGGATTAAAACTAAAGGCGTTGTTTTAGGCTTAAATTGTCAGCCTGTTACTTATAGCTTATGCTACATTTACATTTGTAAGGTGTGAATTGTTAGACTACATCGCATTTGACCTCTGGACGGTTAGCTTCATTTTAGCTGAAGTTAGCAGCCAGTTCAGCCCCGTCGGCCAGGAAGCTACCATTTAACTGACCATGGAGGTAAACGGACTTGGTTATTCTACACTTCTTGCAAATATAGTTCAAGATATGACAACCGGTTATTCTGTTTATGAAGTGACAGAATTGGTCAACATCAATAAATTTGATCTTACATTTCAACTATGTGTAACTGGAGCCGTTTTTAGATGAGACTGATGTGGAGCTCGTAGGAACAGACTCACCATGTGGGCAGCAAAACGATGAATGGGTTGTGGACATTCACCATATGATCGCTGTTAGTAATTATGATGCTGTGGGCCTTCCTTTACTTTTTCTTCTTTTGCTAGTGCAAGGTATCAAAAGCAGGATATGAGTGAAAATATGCTGTACTTTTTCATAAGGGTCTTCATTTGGCCTTTCAACAGAATAATGGTCGAATACGGATGGAAATGGCTCACAAGCCACAAAATGACCCCTCTTGTTCTTTTCTTTTTAGCCATAAATGTGAAAGGATGTATTCACAAGGATCTGACTACGGTTACAGGCGGCAGGATGGCGACAGAAATTCAAGACAGAAGTGGGATGATTACGATGAGAGAAGAAAAGACAGGCACGACTTCTGCGGTAATCCACCTTGGGGCTCTTATTATAAATACAGCAGTGATGGACACAGTAGCACAACGAGGGTGAGCAAAAGTCAAGATTACAGCGAGTCTCCTAAAACACTCTGCAGCTCAGATTCAGCAAGCAGAGAGTGGAGTGGAAAGAGCCCGGAGAGGAGGCTTTTGTCCCCACCTGATTGGGATGTCCCTGAAGTTAAAAGGCGAAGGCAAACAGAGGAAGGTGATACAGATTATAGATATAAACGGGATTCCCCAGAAAAAGCTCACAGGCTGTCGCCTGCAACTTTTTCACATAACCAACAGTTGGGATATTCGGCGTCACATGAAGATGATGCCAGATACAGGAAAATGTCGCCATATTCCAGATCCAGAAGTCAACGTGAAGAGTTGCCTCACAAATACCGGTATGAGGATTTCTGTGACAGAGATTCATCTGATCGTTTCGAAGGAAGTGCTTGTCAGAATAGGAGATCTGGGTATTCACTGGAGAGGACTCTCTCACCAGAAGACACTACAAAGGTCAGTTGTGACTTTTAACGCTTTGAACAAACTTTATCCTGAAAATTAAGTTTATTTGATTAATAAAGATGTTCAAATATCTACTAGATTCAAGCCAATAGGAAAGAGAGAATACCCAACCCCTCGACATCTGGATATTATGATGAATATTATGAAAGCAGAACCACGATGCCACTGAATGGATCCAGTGGACAGGTACATTGTCTTTTTAAGTGTTTTCTTTTTTTCACGCTAGCTTTTTGACAACTACCAGAAGACCTGAGTGATCTGGAAGATTGATATGACAGGAGCTATATACTGTATTTTCGTGCCAAGCCATTCAGTGATTTAGAAATTAACAACAGTATTTTAAAGTCTATTCTCTGACCTGCAGGAAACAAGTGTAGGGACTTTAGAACTGGTTTGTTGTGCTCTATCTTCTATGTTCTGGATCAGCTCCAACTGTCTTAATTTATTTTTTTAAGCAAACCCGTGAGGACACTGTTGCAGTATCCAACGTGACTAAAGATAGACACATGGTTGAGTTTCTCGAGATGTTTTGTAGAGACGTTAGTTCTTTAATCCTAGAAATGTTCTATCAGAAGACATGTTTTTATTCTGATAGAAGGCTCACTTTGTAATTGTCTTTAAATTTATCTGGTATGTCCCTATCAGATATCTAATAAATCTATGATTTATTGAGAATTAAACTGGAGTAACACAAGCAGGTTGAAAGGCCAGTTTATGGGTTTATTTATAGGACTTGTGATTTCTGATATACAATGTAAAACAGCACTATTTATGTTTTTCTCACAAAAATATACAGCTCCTATTTTTTGTCTTGGCATACAGCTTTAAACCCAGAAACATTGTTGCAGTCTGCTTATTAGTTTCTCTGTGATCAAAAAACTTCAGCAGAATATCTGCCTCATTCTTGAAATAATGTTTTGAATTCATAGTTCTAAAGTTGTGGCTTCTATGTTTTCCATCAGTCTTCTAAAAGTGACGCCCCTCCACAGAGAGCCGCGCTCCCTGACGACAAGTCATCCAAAGGCTTCCAACGCTTTCTTGAAGTACTCAACAAGGGCGTGAATGTTGACGTTCTCACTCAGATAGTAAGTCAGAGCCCTACACCACAGTGTGATGGGCCCATTATTCCAAGGTCTTTTCTGAAAGTTGCAGATCAACAGTGGTCTCCCAGTTGCACTGAGAGGCAACAGAAATCATACAAAGATAACAGTTACTGGAATGAAAGTAAGGGCGCCCTCAGGTCGACATCTCCGCTGCCGCATCATCGGTCCGCTAGTCCAGACCGGAATGTCGTGTCCGTTGGCAGCAAATCCCCTTCGGTGGAAAAGACGAGTATGACACCTGAAGATGAGCAAAAACGCAAGCAAATGCAAGATGTTTTGCAGGCTATCGGCGTGGATTTGGGATTTGAGGAGCTCGGTCAAATGTCCCATCGAATCCAGGAGCGTCTTTATGGTAAGAGAGATAACGAGCGTGGCCGCAGATTAAGTAGAGAAAGAGGTGTTGGACTGACGTTCAACGAGGGACGCAGAAGTAGATCGTTGTCAAGCAGTTCTAGTTTTAGTCCACCACGTCAAAATTTTTATACAAGGAGAGACTCCTTAAGCAATCAAAGGGACAAAGCACACCTGCAGCGATCTGAACGCAGCCCGGAGTTAAAAAGGAGGACTTTTCAGGATGGTCACAGCACTCAGGAGAGTAAAATAAGCACAGTGAAGAGCATTCCCGTACTGAATGTTACTTCCAAACCTATCCCTGCTGTAAGCCAGCCTTCTCCGGCAATGATGCCGCCGATGGCTCCAATGCCTCCAATTCCTCCAAGGCTACCTTATACTCCCATCACCCATCCACCGCCGTCATACCCAACTGTTCCTCCACCTCCGCTTCCTTTCCCGCCTCCTGCCGGACCAGGACGTTTCCTTCCCCATGTGCCTCCCATGCTCCCTCATCCTCCCTTTCCACCTCCAAATGTCTTTCCTCCGTTGCTCCCTCAAGGGAGACCGCCATTCCCACCGAACCTGCAGCTTTGCAATCCAACAAACGTAGAGGCTCAACCAGCCATGAAAACAAAGCAAATCTCAAGAACGCAAGGAAGGCCCCGCTTCCTGCAGGTTATTAAGTGAGTGTGACGTGTCCTCATTTATATGCTTTTTTTTTTATATTTGGAAAACACTGAAATAGTTTGTAGCTTTTTCTTATTTGTTTTGTAAAATGCACAAAACAAACAATGTAACCTGGTTGGAGGTAATTTGAAGGCGAAAAATAAAACTGTACAGTTAACGGTCATAAAGTAAATAGTTTTTGCTTGAAGTCATCGTTTCCATCTGAGAATGGCCTGCATTTGATGAAAGAGAATAAACACTGGATATCTATCATAACTGAATTAGCAGTGGAGTTTAGTCTGTAATGATCAACATCTGTTTGGTATCAAAGTTCATAAATTCTGAATTCTGTCATGAGCCCTGGCTTAGAAAAATGTTTTTTTGCATGTATATATTAAAATTTTTTTTTTGACTGATTTTAACATAAAATAGACTATTAATTGTCTTGTCAGGTTTACCTCATTATTTTTTGTACTTGTAGTTACCACTTGTTTAATAATATGAAGTGTACAACATTAAAAAGTTATTCAAAGGAAACTTTGAAGCAATTGTTCTTTTATTATTGTTTTTAATGCAGTGAAAGTAGGTGTTCTTTAAATAACAATATGGTCTTGTACTTGTTAGTCCATATTGCTATTTTTACCATTGTCAAGATAAAAAAAAAGTCAGCAATTTCCATGTAAATTTCTTATTCAAATGAAAGCAGAAGTAGTGACTGGCGACAAGCCAAAGCTGTCTAGTCTGATCACATATAAAAGCTAAATTGCTAAAGAAATTGATATTGGTTCTGGTAGATAGATGTCAGTCTGGTTAGAGGATTGCAATGTGTCGCATATAGAACTGCGTGATCACAGAACACTTATAGCACCAACGCTGATCCTTGATCATGGCTGCCGAAATAATGGAAGCAAGAGCAGCAGAAATATGCTGTATTATAATCGTTCAAGCTGTCCTGCTTTGATTAAATACTTTTCTTTTACATCATGTAGACAACAAGGTGGTGGTACTCTACTTATCTCAGGGATAAAAGATGCACCATAGAAATTAGACAACCATTTGAGGCATTGTGATACTTTGGGGCTGTTCCTTTGACGTATGCAACTTACGTTAGCATCGTGGCAATTAGTGTATACTTGACGTCGCTAGATTGCCTTGACTTCTTTTAAGCAGCTTAATTATCCCAAAAGGCATATTTGGTACAGGATTGCAAGTTTTAAGATTTTTGTCCAGTTTTTTTAAGGTCTTGTTTTGTAATTTGCAGGATTGAAAGGATATGCTTCTAATATCTTTGTGACTATCTACTACTCTATCATGTCATAATATTGTGCCTGATCTGTGTGCTCACAGATCAGGCACAATATTAACAATAACAGTTATTATATTAAGAATAACAGGAAACATTTTTTTTATTTATGCTTTCACTTTTCAAGTACACGTACACTTTTTCCTGTTGTTTGTACAATATGTTTTATGAAACATGCATTCTACTTTATTTCTATTGGTATATCAATGGTCATTTAAGTTTTATGGACATAGCCAGCTTTAAAAATTAGCTTAATACAAAATTTCCTTGCTCACTTGAAAATCTTGTTAAATCGCCTCTAGTTCTGATTGCAGTAAATGTCTCCTGTATTGTATTTTATTGTCATTTCATTCTGATTGACATTTTGTCTTTAGAAAGACACAAATTGTAATGTCATTCTCAGGTAAATATGCATCTATTTACTGTGTAATATTACAATCTGAGTTGAGGTATATTTTTGTCTTCCTTTCACTTTAAAACATTTAAGTTTTGACAGGTTTATGGGGTGTTTAACAGATTTTGTATTTATGTAATTTTAACACCTGGAAGGGTTTAGTTGACTTTTTCCTGATACTAAAATGACTAATATATTTAGTTCGCTCACACAAGAGTTTCAGGCAACGAATATGTTTCCTGTAGGCATCTCCTCAACGTGTTTTTGCAGTGGTGGTCCGCCATCACACAGGAGGCGCTATTGAGCAATTCTTATCATTTGTTAACGCCTTATAGGACGCTGTCTTTTGCTCTTCAGAACAGTTTATGGCAGACTTATTTTGACCAAACCTTTTTCCACCAAAGAAGGTTAATGTCGTCTACGCGTTGTCACAGCAAGCTATTTTGGAGCTCCCTTTGTTTATGTTTTTGATAAAAACAGCTATTCGGTTGTGTCGCAGATGACGGTTTTCCAACAGAAGGTAAACCTGTTAGCTTCTATGCTATCCTCTTTGTAAACACTTTTTAATCATTTCAGATTTTCTGTTCGGAAAAACTTCCTGTACTTGAACTGAAAGGAGTCCAGTTCTGCTTACGTCAAACTCCTTTCCATCAATCTTGGCTTTTAAACGCGAATTCTCGAGTGTTTTGGTGTCACTAGCTAAAATGAATTAATTCTGTTTTGAGCGTTTACTTGTGGGGTCGTAAAATCTGTTCCCTGTTTAACGTGTGTTTGTATGTTTTATGTCAATAGAGCCTCTATAAACCGTGAAAGGCAATACGATGGATCCACGTGACAGTGCCTGGAGTTTTCCTACTCAAAGGCTGCCGGTCCGTCTGGAGCCAGATCAACAGAGGCTTGTCAACATTAACAGGACAGAGAGAGTCCCAGGGTTTACCGATCATTGGCAAGCACGCCCTACGTACACTGCTGTCCAGCCTCACAGAGGTGGTGTAGCCTGGAAGGAACCCAGTTCCCCATCTCTGAACTCCACAGACCCAGATGGAAACCCATTCAACTCAGAGGATGAGGAAGATGCTGAGTTGGCGAGAAAGAAGCGACAGCTTCAGGAGCTACATGAGCAGATTATGCACAAGAAAACCACCATTGCCATCAAAGCAATTGAGATGATGGTGAAGAATCCAGATTCTCCTGATGACCAGGAGTTTGTAACTTACAATCCCGAATCGCTTCGAGACAGAGTGACAGAGATATTGCAGCAACGTTCATTCAGCTTTTTCTCCAAGGTAATGTCCATAAAGTTTTATGTGCAGATCTGAGCAGACTTTGATAAAAGTTACATTCATAATTCATGCTCATTTTGGCATCGATGTGCTAACCCTAACTCTCCAGGGTTTAAGTGATATATGTCATTATTGTAATGAGTTTTAAAGATAAAAATTTGACAGGCAAGTTTTAATTTATAGTTGACATCATTCCCTGATCTTAATCCAATAGAAATTAAAGTACCGGTACAAGTTTAAATAGAAAAACATTTTACTGAATCTTAGAATGAATTGCTTTGAAAAACTTAGACTGTGTGTAACTTTAAAAGGCAAAGTTTTCGTGACTGATGGTTCTGCTGGAGTCCAACCAATTTAAAGTTTTCTTTTTTGCAATAAAGACCATATTGTTGAGATGCCACTTGCTAAGAGGTATTTTTAAAAATATCAGGTGGATGTATGTACCTCAACTCTTTTGATCTAGTTTGGATGAGAGTATATCTATAATAAATCCAAGCAATGAGTATTGCATCTTCTAATTCTATCTTCTGATCGGCAGGTTAAGTTACGTTTACTAAAAGCAAAAGCCGCTGCTTCGAGTAAAGATGAAGTGAAGCAGCAGCACCATCCGCTGAAGCTAAGAGTGAAGGCATTAAAGGCACACAGACTCAGGGACCCCGGCGTTTTACCACCCAACAGAGAGAAGGTTTGTACTAAACGTTATGAATTAATCTACTCCCAACGGAAAGAAATACCATTACAAAACATGCATTTAAATGATCTAAAACCTTCTAGAACTGTAGAATATGTTTAGATGAGGATTATAGATTTGAAATTGTTATCCTTAAGAATAAAATTTGTCATCTTACATATGTTTCTCTTAACATTCACTGTTTGAGGAAATTTTGCATGACTTGAGCAAAGATTTATAGTGGATATAAACAGTTGCATGTTTTAAATTTTGCTTTTTTATACATTTAAAAAAAACTGACAGTCCAAAAAAAATAAAAATGTTTTTTTTTTTTAAATAATTTTTCCATTTGTTTTTATTATGCAGCTTTACTAGTGTAGTGCCATCATATGAATTTATGTGTGCAGTTCCCATCTCCTCACAGAAACGTGTTCTGACAGAATTGTTTAAAAAAGCTAATAAAGCCGCTGCTGGTGTTTCTCCCACTGTGAATGTGTTTGTATTATTAATGCATGCCTGATGTTGGACAGATCCTTGATGTTCCTCCACCTCTCACCACCCAGGCTGTTGCTTCACCTGCTAAAGAGGAAAGCAACGCTGCTAAGGGCTTTGAACGCTTCCTCAGTGTGCTCAACAGAGGAACTGATCTCAACCTGAAAAACATGGTATGTCTGCTGTACACACATAGATGTTAAAATGTAATATCTACATCCCATCAACAAAGAAAGAAAGAATGTCAAATTATAACAAGAGCTACTACATTCATTGGGTAAACAAAAATAAAAATATGCTTCTGAATAGAAATGTTACTAACCTCAGTTGAGGACAATGATACGTAAATGTTGCTCCATCAATTTTTTTACTCTTTGCGAGACCAACGTCAGCAAAGTGTGTAAATCAAATTCCCATTCTAGAGCTCTATCAGGACTCTAGTTTTACTGTAAAGCTTGAAAACCCATAAATGCTGCAAAACATGTTAATGGAAGCCTCATAATGTGGGGATGTTTCAATGATATTAGTAGTACAGGTATTAACTTTGAATTCATTTAACTGTGTTTAAAGTGGAAAATGAATCCCAAAACACATAAAATCTAGCTTCCCTGCCCGCCTAACAACCTCAACACATCTGATTTGTTAATTTGACCACTCTTAAAAGAAACCTCAGAGCTGAAAAGGCTCATAATTTCTTGTTTATTTATATTGATGAGCGTGATGTTTCTCAGCTTTCAGATGAGCCTCTGCCTCCTCCTGACCACATAATTTCTTCGCCCGAAAAGCAGCAGCAGGAGGAGAGCACCACCAACAAGGGATACGAGCACTTACTGACTGCTCTCAAGACAGCAGCAGCAGCAGTCCCCAACATGACAAAAACAGTACATCATTTTGGTTTTCATTTACAGAGCTATGAAAAATGTTTGCCTCTTCAAGATTTCTTTGATTGTTGCATTTTCATTCCACTGGACTGTTTATGTGTTTAATCTGGTTATCTTAATCAAATATTAAAAAACGTTTGATCTGAAACAAGCATGGCAAAGGTGCAAAAACTGAAGAAATCTATGATGGCTATGTTTCACAGCAACATATATGACAATTCTATTGAAAGGACAAGAATTGTTCATACAGAATAATGTCATTCTTTGTCAAGTTTTATTGACAAGATAACATATTTGAACATGATTCCAGATTACGTTGAAACAAATTTCTAAAAAGACTAAAGAGAGAGAGATAAAAACTTCAAGAACTGTCTATCCTGCTAAAAGTTAGCTTACTTATTGCCAGATTAACTACTGTTTTATTCATTTTTATGAATGTGGGATGATTCACAGGCTCCTGATGTCCCTCTGCCGCCTCCTGGCCGCAGCATTGCTTCCCCTGAAATGCAGGAGGGCACCACAAGCAAGGGATATGAGCGCTTACTCAGCGTTCTCAACAAAGGAGCTGCTCCCAACTTGAACACCACGGTACGTCCTGTGGATAGAGTTTTTCTTCTATATGGAAACTGGCATTTGTAGAGTGTTTAATTGTGTGAAATTTTATTATTATTAAAACTTACATCTAATGAAAACCAAAAATTCAGATTCTAGAGCCCAAAGGGGTGCCCAAAGTCGGCATCCTTGATGTTGTCGTTCTCTCTCTGGTGGTACCAACTACCTTTTCAGCACGACAACGTTCTTCTTAGGCCTAATAAGCCATCGTTTGATCCAGGTGCGTTAAACCAGGGAGAGAACTAAATTCTCCCTCGAGGGCCGCCATCCAGGATGTCGGCCCTCGAGGATGTCGGCCCTCGAGGACCCACTTTGGGCACCCCTGTTCTAGAGGCTTGGTGGATACGTTTTACCTTGGGTTGTAATTGTATGTGGGCAAATAGCTTGTGTCATAAATGCATTTAAAACGGTCTAGCACTTTCAATAGATGTACTTTTCTAGAAGCAGTGGGTCCTGATAGTCATCACTTACTTGGGCTCAGCTCTGAATTCCCTCTCTGTACTCATGAGAGCTGTTTAAAGATAAACCAGAGTGCATGTGCAACATGGCTAGTTCAGGATAATATGGTATGTCCAACTTGAATTTAAGTTTTTATCAAATATTTCAAGTTTCGCAAGGAAATTAGTTTGTGGAAGATCTTATCGTCAATTATGTCATAATCACAATAGCAGCAGAAAATATAGTTATAAAACTTTGAAGTCCACATCGCACACCCGCACTTGGTGTATTCCCAGACTAAATTTATATTTAATTTATTGTGTGTCTTACATGTTTTTCAGATCCCTGATGTTTCGGTAAATCCTCCCAGCCTTAGTGACCCTCATAGAGCAAAGAAGGAGAGCAGTACCAAGAAGAGTCCGGAGGGCGAGAGCAGAGCCAGTCGAGGCACTGAGCAAACAGGGCGACATTCTGAGAGTAAGAGCAAAGCCGACAGACTTTCAGATCACGAGAAAAGTGAAAACAAACATTCTGATCACGAGAAAAGTGTCAACGAGCGTTCTGACCGCAAGACCAGTCCAAAAAGAGGCAATGAGGGCAAAACCGGTGACAGCAGGGCTTCTGATCACAAGAAAAGTGTCGACAGAGACTCTGACCTTGAGAGTACCATCAGCCAATGTTCTGAAGTCAAGAGAAGAAATTCTGATTGTAAAGACAGAGCTGAAGTCAGAGCGAACAACCTTCACAGATCTTCTGTTAAGAGCACTGTCCACAGAGTTTGTGAGAATGAGAGCAGTGAGAACCAAGGCTCTGGGATTGAAAACATTCACAATAGAAGTTCTGAAACCAAGACGAGTGTTAGCAAGGGCAGCGTTGATCAGCTCCTTGAAGGCAAGGGCAGCTTGAAAAGAAATGTTGAGTCCGATGACGGTGCTAACAGAGGTTGTGGGCACAAGAACAGTGGCGACCGAGCTACTGAGTCAGAGAGCGGTGTCAGTAAAACTCTTAAAAGTGAGGGGGAGAAGAACATAGGTCTCAAAAGCAAGGGCAGCGATAACAAGGGTTTTGAGCGCTTTGTGAGTCTACTGAACAGTGGAGTGGACATCACCAAGCTCAGTAAGATGATCAAAGATGAGGTAGATGATCTTCCAAAAACCTCTCCCTCTGGCTTGAAAAAGGCCCCCAAGAGTGAAAACCAGAGGTCCGATACTGGATTCTCACTGCCAGGCTGCAGTGGGATCAGCAGCGTAAAATTAAAAACTGTCAATCAAGAGACGCCCTCACTTGAAGACGTTGAGGTAAAGAAAGTTAAAAAAAGGAGACATTTGGACTCCAGTAGCCAACAAGAGCCTGCCCTGGAAGTGAAAAAGAAGAAGGAAGAAGAAACGGAAACCTCACAAATAAATGAAAAGCATAAACAAGTGCAGAGCATTCTTAAAACGTTGGGTTTGAATCTGGACATGGAGGAATTGACCAAACTAACCGATCGCACTCAAGAGAGGCTTTATGGAAGGAAGAATGAAGATAGAGAGACGAGCGAAAGCAGGATGGAACAGGAAAGTCGACCTTCGCTCGCCCATAAAAAACACAGCAGGTCCCGCTCCTCCTCTTCGTCGTCCTCTTTGTACTCTTCCTCCACCTCCTCCTCCTCCTCCTCAACTTTCTCTGGATATGCCACTAGAAGCCGTAGTCGGAGTCCTCGGGGCCGCCGGCCACGGCGCTCTCGCAGCAGAGATGCACGTAGACGTTCTAGTGACAGAAGTAGAGATGGAGGGAAGAGGCACAGCAGGACTGAAGCCAGTAAGGACGCCCAGAGGCCCAGCTACAGAAACCAACAACATCCTTTTCATTCTCCTTATGGTGCTCCTTCTGCATATACCGATTACAGTTTGTATCAATATGCCCAGTACATGAACTACTACAATGCCTACAACAGCGCTCTAAACTCCAATTGGGTGTTTGATCCAAATCAGAGTAATGTGCCACCGTCCCGTTCACAGTGGCACTCAGTGTTAGCAGATATGAGGCTTCCCAACCAACCTGGACAGATCTCCCTTCATGACTTCATGCTGTTCAGGAATCCAGACTTGTCTGGGAGTGAAGGTCAGAGCAACGAACCCTCTGGTTCTCGTTGCCTCACAGTCATTAATACTATGCCACCTTCTGCAAGCAGCGCGACGGGATGTCAATGGTTAACAAATCTGGAGAGAAGTCAGTTGGGGTCGAAAAGAAAGACTCGAAAAAAAAAAAGGAGAAAACAGTCGGAAAGTTCAACTAAAGATTTTTCACAGAAGAGGACCGTAGAAAAGTCTGCTGAGAAAAAACCTGCAGAGACATTGACTGCAGAGACAAAAGCCTCAGGAACAGTTTCTGTGGAGAAAAACCCCCCAGAGACGGTTGCTACAAAAGAAAAAATTGCAAAGACGGTTGCTACGGAGAAAAAGGTTGCAGAGACGGTTGCTACGGAGAAAAAGGTTGCAGAGACGGTCGCTATGGAGAAAAAGGTTGCAGAGACGGTCGCTATGGAGAAAAGTGTTGCAGGGAAGAAAAGCATCAACTCGAAGAGCTTAAACTCCACGCCATCACAGGGCAAGACTCCTGGTGATACAGCCAAGGTAAAGGAAGAGAAGAAACATCACCTTACAGAGGAGGAAATAAAGGCTAACCTGAGGGAAAAGGTAAATTGACTTTTTTTTTCATTTTGTTCTTTTTTGCCTTTTTCTCTTGCGCTATGACAGATTTCTGTTGTTCTTCTTCAGAGGTATTCCAAACTACCCACTAGATAAAGGGTTCTACCTTAGATCAGTGGTTCCCAGTCCTCGTCTTGCATGCTTAAGATGTCTGTCTGGTCCAGCACACCTGATTTGATAGATTGATTTACCTTCTCAGCATGCTATGATCTACAGCAGTGTTTTAATGACATATTCGATTAAATCATGTGTGGCACCAGAAAAATATCTACAGTGTCTGGCAGAAGTTCTCACATCAAGGGTTCCAACTTTGTCCCAAAAGAGTTTTTAAATTTACTTTTAAAGTATTCCAGATCTGGACAAATACAGAGTGTGAATTTTTTCTTCTATATTTTTTCTCTTATGTTATCTGAAGGGTGTAAAAATCTAAAGAATGAAGATTCTTTCCTTGATTTTGTTATTTTATATCCCTTTACATTTTATGCATGACTAGAGAAAAGCACATATTATAAAAGTTGTTACGAGTGATAAATATCATTGAATGAGCTGCTCTCCACATTCATATTGCAGCTGTAATAACGGCATGGAGGACTTCCATGTTCTTTTTTCTTTATGTCATGTCTATCCAATGAGAGCAATGTGTAAGTTTTAAGATGCATTTGGTTGTCATCGAAACAGTTCAAATGTTTCTTCAAAATCTGTTTGTAGCTTCTGGAGTTTAACCGGAAAGCGAGGCTGCTGACACAACCCAGCTCCGCCATCAAGCCATCAGCAGAATCCCTGGACTCTGAGCTCCTTTAATGTAAGTGAATTACATTTCCAGCTCTCTTGTGTCCTTGTATTTTCTTTCATGGCTGTATTGGCTCAAAGTTAATCCCACTTCTTCTCTATATCTATGTTTCTAGTAGATTGTGCTGCTCAAGGTGATAAGTGTGTGAAATTCTGCAAAATATCAGAGAACTTATTTTATTATTTTTAGATTATTAATTGATTATAAAAATCTAATTTGCTTAGAGGTAACATTGAAAGGTGTGTGTTCATGCTCTGCATGTACTCCTCTTAATCTTTTCCATGAACAGTAGAACGTTAGTCAGACCTCTCTGAGCTAAATAGTAATTAACTGGACATTCAGCAGTTTAAAACTATTCCTTTATTTGGAGGTTAATGTGTTGCAGAGATGACTTATTTCATTTTTGGCTTGGGATTCTGAAATATCACTCCTTCCCCATCCCTACTTTTAATGTGTAATGTGGATTTAAATAACTTATTAATAGCTTTCTAAATGTAACTGTCAAAACATGGTGGTATCATTTTAACCTGTTGCCATAATTTTGAAAAAACTTGATATATTCTGACTTTAACAAAACTAATGTATTTAATTTTTATCTGATGCATCAAAAAAACGAGAGTTTAACAAATCAATTTTGATTCATGAATTCTGAAGATTTTAACTGGCTAAAATTTTAATGCAGTTAATTGCCGTTTTTGTCTATATGGTTTTATACTATAATGCAATTAAATACATTTTACATGTAACTCAATTAAGAGAGTTTAACAAGTTCCACCACTAAAAAAGCACTAGAATTGCCATACTTAAACACATCATTTAACTTTTGAATAAGCCTCCCATTCTAGAGAAATTTTGACAAGGGGATCTCTTATGTATACAAATGTAAATTTATATACAGTATAATGCAACTTTTAATTGTTTGTTCTCTTTGCTTTCAGAGATCTGTAGAAACTCTGACGTCCCCTGTGGATCGGTGACCTTCATTTCAGTTTTATATAAACATTTTGCTACTCCCTGTTCGAGCTGAATCCTTCCCCAAATGGCACATATAAATGAAATCTTCCTCAGAAGAATTTACTTTCTTAACTTGTTCCTAGTTTATGTGAAGGTTTTTACTTTTGTCACCACTAATTATGTTATGTTCTAACATTGATTTGCTGGTTCTGTTATGGTTAAACTTATTTTGTTGTCAGTCTTTTAGTTTGTCCGATTTCTCTAGTAAAATGTTTAAATACCGTTTAAATGATTGTGGATGTTTGATTTATTTTGTTATACTGAATTTTGAGGTGCTACTCCTGAAAGTCTTCACTAATTTAGTGTAAAACTCAGAGGAAGAAGTTGATCTGTGGAGCCTGTCTGTACAGCCGGACAATATGCTGAATGTTTTGAAAAGGAGAAACTTGTATGACTTGCTCTTGACTTTGGATGTAAAAAATTAGCAATGAACAGAACAACTTATTAAATATGTAGGAAATGAAAGGCTTGTCTCTTTAAACTCAATAATTGCTGATTAAATTGGAGAATAATTGTAGAATTATAGTTTCCAATTCTTTTGTTTGTTTTTTTTACTAAGGAACATGTAAATCAAGTTAAACAGAGACATGGATAAGTGCCTCCAATAACATTGCCTCAGCAAATATTTAATTAAAGGTACCAAATACATGTGCAAGCCACACATTTCAGATTTCTATTTATATAAAAATAAAATCCTTCACTACTTTTCATTGGTCTTCAGTGCAACACATTAAAGTTAGTATTTTCACAAACATTTAACAGCAGGAGGTGGTAAGTTTACATTTGGCATTGTGCTGCTCCAGTTTAAATTAGAATTTGATGGTGTTAACTTCTGTGAGTGCATGCTGGATTGTAGGCAATATCACATATGAGACAGAATAAAATGTCAAGCGATCAAGATTAGAGGTTTGCGTTAAAAATAAATCAGTTTCCACTGGAAAAACAAGGAAATTCAATTTTGTGGTTGAGACGTAAAACAGAAAAAAGTCCTGGTGGGGCTTATTGTTTCACTACCAGTGTTGAGCAAGTTTGGTTCAAATAGTGAAAATAAATCAACTGTACTCAAAGTAATTGAAAAGGGAAAAAGAACATTACTTTTTTTTTTTATTACTTTTCCCCTTTTATTTACCTCAAATAGATCAGACTTGTCACTGACGATGCCAGGTAATAAATTAAAGTATCAGTTATTAAATCAAACTCTTGTCTGAATTTTTACATTTTTATTTTGCACACATATTTAATGCTTATTTATGGCTTACAACATGAAAACTCTTCACAGGTCCAGAAGAGTTCATGTTGAAATAAAGTCATCTCACATGGCGCTCCAAACAATACTGACGTTTTGCTTCATATTTAGTTTTAGGAAAACAAAGACAAAAAGGTTCAAATAAATTACTCAGTCATGGGCATATTAAACACAGTACACCATCAAATACGATGCATCGCTGTGCTTTCCCTGTGGCTCCTGTGGAACAGCAGTGTGTCCGTGGTTTACAGTTCATCTTTCTCCTCTCCTGGGCAGTAGCAGGCCGCTCTCTGGCTGTTCATGTAGGGTCTGCAGCCCAGAGTCCACACTGTGTTGAACAAGGTGTCGGCTACTGTCTCACACGCTGAGGATGAAAAAGAGCAGTGAATGAGCAGCCCAGAAAACTGAAGACATGCTATCTGCTGTTATGTTGCAGTGATTTATATATAGAATAATTACCGGCGATATTAGATCTTAATAAAAAGGAAAAAGCAACCTTTTGCTCTTAAACCTCAGCAGTTTCGCACATTGTTCTGCTATTTCTTTTTATGTTTATTGGAGGTTTAAAGTAAACTTTTACCAACTGATAACTCTTCCAACTGGAAGTACTATTAAATGATTCAGTACAGAACAGAATCTTATAGATGATTAATGAATATTAGCTAAAATTAAGGTGATGGCAAAGAGGCCTTCCAACCTCAAACACATCAACAAAGATGAATCAAACATTTTTTTAAATGTTTTGAAAAATGTAAATAATTTTTTTTTATTTTTTCCATCGATACTAAATTGTTTTTCTTATAAGTCTTGCTGTTATCTCTCCTTGGCATATAAATGTAGGGTAAACTGCAAGTGCAAGTTTACTCCTAAGTTCCTTCTTCCCATAGTTTCTGCGTTTAGCTCCGAGTTAGCTAAATAAAGGTTGCCACGTTTTAATATACTATGTGTTGATTGTCAGCCAGGGTTGTAAAATAAATCAAAATGACTTCACTAAACAATAAGAGAAAATGCAGACCGCTGACCTTCCACTTTGGACACGAAGCCGAGGCTCTTCTTTAGGTCCGAGCAGATGCTGTGGAGACACCAGCGAAACTTGGAGTCGCAGCGGTACTTGTTGGAGCCGCAGGTGTCGTAACACATGTCCAGCTGATTGCAGCACTTGGTCATCGCTGGGATTCCCACATCCATCTGGGACAGACACACAGGGGAGTATGATTCAAAAACCACTCAGGATTTATTGCAGCAACATAACGTCACTGGAAATTTTAGAAAAATACTGGATTTTATTAATAGGACATTAAAAGTCTTTATATCACTAATGCACTAGGAAAAGCTCTTTTTCTGTCATGCCACTCACATCCGAAATATGTTTTTGCACATTGACTTTCTCAAGGGAATCTAAAAGAATTAAATTATAAACAAAATTAAAAATGACACATGGATGGGAACGTCTTCAAACATTGAATTTTTCTCTAATCTTAAGTGAGATTATGCTTTTTTGCAGTTATATATATATATATATATAATATATATATATATATATATATATATATATATATATATATAAAAGAAAAGCACTATAGAATAAAATAGATTTTTTTCTAACCCAGAAACCTGGTTTTATCTACAAAACTTACCCCGTCCGGAATAGGAAGGCCAAAGAAGTATGAACTGCATCCATCAGGCTCCGGCATGTTGTAACCTGGACGAGGAAGAGGCGCTTTACCTGCAACACAAAATAGAGGAAAAAAAAATGATTTCGATGTAGGTCATGAAGCCGGCTGGACAATATACCTGTGAGATTAAAACAGATCCAGGTTTCCACACAGCATCTAAACATTTGACACGTCCCCAGTGACCGGATGGCCCCTCTCCTATTACCCAGAGGCCACAGTCCGTTTCCTGGACCTCTCCCAGATAACAGAGCCAATAAGGGAAAACGTATTGCCTTCAACTCTACATTTAGAGCTGCAGTAAATCCTACGCATTTAAGAGAAGAGGGAGAACCTTTTTAAAATAAAAAAAAATAAATAAAAACAACAAGAGACACTTAAAACAATGTCATTCACATTCTAAAACAGGAAATGTATAAATGTATGTTAATGTATCATTGCCATACAATTAAATCAGAAAATAGTATGTAGAAAATGTAAAGTGGTCATTAAAATGTTTTGTTTGGACAAACACATTTTTGATAGAGGAAGATCTTAAAAGTAAATGTATATCTTTAAGAGCTAAAATATCAGCCATGATACATGGCAGTGAAGGCAATTTGAAAGATCATATGATTGTGTGTCTTGTGAACAAGGATGAATGTAACATTTTTATTTATTTTTTTTTCAGCTATGAATGTATTTGGGAAACAATATACAAGTATGGTTAGATCTTCCAGACGCTTGCTGACTCAAACAAAATCAATAAGACCACGTGCTACTTCACCCTAAATCAAAACATACGATTCCATCAGTCCAGGTCAGGTTTACCATGTCTGCAGCGGTACTGGCACACTCCATCTTTTCCACCCATGAACTCCAGCATGGAGTCAAAGTAGCCGCTGACCGCCTCGAAGCCTCCCCTGAGGGAGTTCAGCCCCCAGTCCTCGCTCTCATCCTCCGGCTGGGTGCCGCCATCAGAGGGGGGAACCGGTGGAGGCGGCGAGGCGTCTGGGTTTCCAGCCTCCTGACCTGCAGCTCTGAGGGCCAGCAGGCCCACCAGGAGGGGCGCGACGAGGGCCCAGCGTGTCATCCTGTCGGCTCGGTGCGACCAGGAGTCGGGTCTTCTCAGAGGAGACGCTGGAACTTTTACTGCGTGACCTGAACTTTGAGTCGGACGTGGACAGGACAACCTGTCACGTCGAAAAGCGCGCGTGAGATTTGCACGGCCTGTCGCGGGAACGCGCATTGCAGAGCAATATCTCTCTCTCTCTCTCTCTCTCTCTCTCTCTCTCTCTCTCTCTCTCTCTCTCTCTCTCTCTCTCTTTTAGTTCATTTGGAAAAGAAAGGTGTTAATATTTATGATCTATTAAAAGCACTCTCTTCGGTCAGATTTTAACGCTCTTTCTTCATCGAAATGTGTGTGTATTGAGTAATGCGCGTGGTCGCGACGGAGAGTAGAAATCTCGACAGGCAGGCGCGCACTTTTCAGTACAACACCTGTTTCACATGTGGAAGAACAAAGTCCAGCTGGTATCTCGGCTTTTATCAGTCCGGCTGATGATGCGTTTGTCTGCTGACTGTTTTATTTTAATTAATTACACTGATCGTCATTTTAGATTTAAGAAAGGCTCAAATAAAGGAACATGATCAGTTTCTGCAGTTGTGCTTTAGGTAGAAAAACATTTGATTTAAAACTGCTCCAACCCGATAAGAAATCAGATCGAGAGATTGCTTTTGTGTCTTTGCCTTTGACTACTAAAATGTCCCTCAATGAGAATTTTTTTTTTAAGTTCAAAGTTTTTTTTTTTTTTTTACAGATTGTCAATTTATATTTCCCAGCTTTTGTAGTAGTCTGCTCCATTATGTGTTGAAGGGAACCATTTCACCTCTAGAACATGTGGTGCCTAGGACTTTAAAAATATTTAAAAATATTGCATCTCTCCTGATTTTTGATGTGATCCTATATTAAATCCACAATTATTTACACCCCCCATGCAAAATTTGCATCAAAGTACTGTTTTAATTTCACTGATATGTTTGCCATTCTTAAACATTTTCAGAGGTCCAGCTAGATCCTGATTTCAATCGTATAAACTATCTAAAGATTATGGTGATGGCAAACAGGCCTGGTAACTTCTCAGTGTTGCTGAGAAGTTACTTAAATTGGCCACTTAAGCAAATTTGTCAAGACTGATACTCCTGTTGAAAAGAATAATTATCTTCATACCTTTCTCGTTTTCTAATAAAAACAAACTCTTTGGTTAACTTTATTGTTTGTTTAAAAGTAATTCATTTTGCACCTAAGCTTTCCCTATCCTGTTTATACCTGATTCGGGTATAAAACCTATCTGCTCACATAAAGTGTGACTGAATTAAATGTGAAACTTGCATTTAATTGGAACTACGACTGTTAGTTTTGATTTAACCCAAAACCTAGAATACATTCATCTGGGTTGAAAGCTTTTGATCGTCTCTTTTTTTTTTTTTTTTTTTTTTTTTTTTGATTAAGTGAATCAGTCTTTTAAGCTGAATTGTCTTTATAGGACTCATTGCTCACTTACTGGATGGTACATCTTGGCTCCAGAGGTCACAGTCCATTTCCAGGCCTTTGCCCAGAGGTTCAATCAGGTTACATATACAACCAAAGGAGTTGTGTAGGAGACACAGTTATGTGCAGTATTTCTTCAGAAAATATTGATTACATTTTTTTTTCTAATGAATATTCTACTGTAACTTTGGCCTTTTTGAGCTGTTGTTTTGAAATGTGGCTAACACTCCGGGCCAAGAGGGGGCGATAAAACACCAGTAAACTGAGTACCAATGTTTTCAAAAAAGAAGAAAACATCCGCTTGAGGAAGGAACGTGGCGAGGTTCATTAGACTTATGTTTGTTAATGGCCATAAAGAAGCGCGTGGAGGTTTCTGCAGAGGGCGGGTGATAAATGCTCACCTGTGGAAAAAAAACACCTGAGGGACATTTTACAGTGTTACGCTCCTGCCCCGGAAGTTTGTTTTGGCACGTGGGGAGAAAATGGCTTTTGCTAACTTATTCTCTAGACTGCCTGCTACGAGCGAGGACGCGACGAGCCCAGGTGAATCTGACGTCACGCACAGGTAAAACGGCTGGTTTTCGTGGCGTGAGATCGAATAAAGCGACGTTCTCTGCATCTCTGCGCATGTCTGTGTTTCCTAGCAAGAGGGCGGAGAATGGCTCCAGAGGGAGGAAAAGGAAAACACAGCGGGACGTTCCCGGCTCGAACAACAAGGTGAGCCACTTGAAACATTTAAAGTTGCTCTGCAGTTTAATAAGATTCGTTAAAGTCAACTTTGGATGCAGTTTGTCTACCATAAATAGAGAAGTGATACTGAGTGTTGCAGAACATTAAATACATCATTCCCCACTGTAACCGATCGACGTTCTTTTAAAAAGCTCGGTATGTGTTTTTGTACATTTTTCCTCTTCGCTTACAGGTTTTTAATCTAACAGTTTAGTTAAACCTGTGTATTTTGTAACATGTTCATCTGTAGCAAGACATTTGAGCACAACTTTGACCAGCTCGTATGTCAAAACTCCTGATTGAAAGGAGAAAACCCATTTTCTTTGAAGAGATTGTCTCCAAATTGTAATACCTCTAAAATAATTTAAAGCCCTGGTGAACTCTCACAAGGGTTTATTTGTATAAATACCACAAAATTAAAGGACCCTTGTCCTTTAGGCTGATAAAAACTAATATATCAGCCCAAACACACTGCACCAAAGTGAAGCATGGTGATGGAAGGGTGATGATACGGGCTTGTTTTGACTTTGCAGCTTGCAGTTATTGTGTCAACCTCTGGCCTCCCCTATTTACCAAATCACTTAGTAATTAAATGTGTGGCCAGTTGGCATTTTTATTGTATTCTGATATAATAAAACTAAATTAAACCAGGGCGTACTTTTATACCACAATGTTGGGACTGCATCAACATTATCAGACATTATTAACTCAGAATAAGTCAGTCCAGACATGCCTGAAGAAAGTTATGTGCAAATGTTATGAGGTGAACAGGTTATGAACCTGTTGTCAAGTTAATTAGCAAAATGTGTTTCTAAATTTCCTTTGCATTTACTGTGGCATTTTTTTTCTTCTTCATTTTTATAAAAGAGATTTCATCAGTTCCAGTCCAAAGACAATTTCACCTCCTGGAGCAAACCCTACCAGAAGCAGGTCGCAGAGAGTGAGCGCTCTTCTCCAGCCCAGAAACATAACCACAGCTTTAACTCCTCTTACAACCGCTGGCAGAACGGCAGCGGTCAGAATTATCCAAATAAACGCAAGAAAAAGAAAAAAAATCAAGGGAAGAAGAAGTGGAAGAATCAACATCATGATGATAGAGGCCCAAGACCAATAAAGGAGGTGAACAAAGGTTGACAGTGAAATGCTCAGAGGAAATATGATACATTTGGTTGGTCATCTCATCTTTGATCTCATTTAGGAGAAACCAAAATTCATGACCCAGGAGTTTAAGGACCAGAACACCCTGTTGGTGGACGGCCGTCTTGTGTGTCGACATTTTCTCTTCGGACGATGCATTAAGGTCCACTTTGTAAAACCTAACAAGTTACAGGATCAAAAAAAAATTATCATGCTTCACTTGTCTTCATTTTGTTTACTTTTGTTTTTTGTTTTGCAGGAGGATCAATGCCAGCTGGAGCATTTTCAAGGTTACAACGACATCATAAAAGAAGCCTGCAAGTACTATATCAAAGGATTCTGCATCAATGGGCAGAGTTGCCCTTACATGCATAATATCCTTTTACCCTTTTCTTGTCTTGTCGCACAAATCTCTGTCAGAAATGGCAAGGCAGTTTTCTTGTTTTCCTTTACTCAGCAGCACAGTCATTTCCGTGCAAGTTTTTCCACAAGAAAGGAAAGTGCCTGCAAGAAGGAAACTGCAGGTTCTCCCATGAGCCGCTCAACGACGTCACTGTGAAACTGTTGGAGGAGGTTAGTGCTGCAGCTGTTTTGGGAATCCAGAGCATTAAAGTGCATTTCTTTGTGTTGTAACATCTAAGTGAGGTTAATGTCTTCCTGCTGCAGGCCTTGGAACAAGAAAAAGCCTTTTACCGACTTGCAAAGACAAATAAAGAGGAGTCGTCAGAACAGCAGGCGGACGCACAGGAGACCAAACCTGCTGAAGACAACAAGAACCCGGATTTTATCTCTCAACCTCTCAGGTGTTAAAACACAGGAAGCATCAGATTTAAAAGTCATGACACGAACACCAGGAAATAGTAAATAAACACGGAGTTGATTAAAATTTCAGAATTGGGTCAGAAATCAGAACATATAAAAGACAAACATTTGGTAGAAGGTGCTCTGGTCAGATGAGATGAATGCAAAAATGCTCTGTGCGAAGCAACACTGACATTTCACACCATATGGTCAAACACTGGTGGCAGGATAATGCTAAATTAACACTTTATATGTTTGTTAAAAAAATGAAACCATTTGCTATTTTCTTATTTCACAGCTGTGTGCTACTTTCTGCCACTGACTGGTGGTCTATAGATTAAAAAAGGTTAAAGTTTGTGGTTTTTAGACCTCAAACTTGTAACTTTAACTTAACTTTAACTCTCACTGTGCAGTTTCGTGGAACTGCACAGTGACAGTTATCATTCAGGTTGATCTTGTATTCATTTTCATTTTCCAGGCCAAGCTTTTACAACAGCACGGATGCTGAGAAGAGGCCCCTCGAGAAACTTGATCTAACAGAAGAGCGTGTGTCAGACGCTGACCAACCTCCCTGCTCTACATCAAACCCTCAGAGCCAACAGGAGCCAGTTTGCTACTCGGTTGAAGCTGTACTTGGACCTCAGCTGTCCAGAACTTTCTTCAGTTTCTCTAAAACTCCTGCAAGCCAGGATTCTTCATCTGCCTCTCCCGCTCTAACTTCTTCTGACAGACCTGATCCAAACCAACCCAAAGTCCTCTACTCGGTTGAAGCTGTCTGCAGCTCCGATAAATCTGCAGATAATTCCTCTGGCAGCCAAACACCAGATACTCCTAGAGAGCGGACCGTATGTCATGCACCTCATGTCATTTCAGAAAAAATCAGAGCTCCTCCTTTTAGAAAAGAGGAGCCACATTCATCTCTCAGAATTATGGAGAATAGATGTCAACAAACATTGCCAAAGAGCTTGTCGTGTCTCAAAGTGAAAAACCAGCTGATTTCAGACTCCCTACCAGTTCTCTCTCACACATCTGAGGAAGAGATGGAGGGGCAGAAAGGTTGCATCAAACGAACGTTGTTGCATCGTCCACAGGCGTCTGCGTCTTCCAGAAGTAGAGAAATCAAGGATTCACTGGCAGGAACTAAACCCAGTGAAATCTCTACGGGGCAGGCATGTCCTCTGAAGGATCCGAAACCAAATCTCTCCAAAGGAAGAGGTGCTGTTCCAGATGAACCTTTAATTACTTGTAATAAAAGAAGAGAAGCAGCTGATGTTGCAGTTCACCACTTTGAAGTCTCCAAGATTCTCCCAAACTTCAAAAAGAATCATTCACCTGCTACACGAGGCCATCATTCTTGTAAAAACTTCATAAAATCCAGCAGCGACATAGCAAATCATGGAGATTTTTTATCTGAAAGTAATAAAACCGGGAATAGGTCGTTCAGTAGCCTTTTTGCTTCCCCTCTTAGTGAGAGTTCACTTTCTTTTCCAAGCCCAAAGACTCAACCGGCAGAGTCTGCTGCTGTGGCATCAAAATCCAAACAGAGAGACTCTGATCGGAGGTGCTTCCCATCCCAGGTTAGAATGCATCACAGGCAAGCATCTCCTGAATCCCCCCAGAGCTCCAAAGCTGAAAATGATGCTGTGAAACCGCCGTCAGCTGCAGTTTGCAGCATTTCATCCGGCTCTCCTTGTGAGCTGTCTTCACGTCGGACCGATCAGAACCGGCCTGACGTTTCATCCCCGAAAGGTAAAAGATTCTTCAGTGTTTTTTATACTGTTTTCAAAAAGACTTTAGTGTGTGATACTGGGTCTCATGGCAGACCAACCCAAAGTGGTTTAGTTTGAATATGAGGAAAAAAAATGATTCATGGCTTCAACATCCAAACCTATAGCCTGTATTTGTATTCATTCTTTTACTCTGATATCCTCAAATAAAATCCAGTGCAGTCGCACCAAATAAGCACATTCAAGTCCACCTGTCTGAATTTTACCCAAATGCACTAAATTGCAGAACAAAATTTTTTCTGCAATCACTGCTGCACGTATTTTGGGATTTCTGTAGCTCAATCAGGATTGGGTGGAGAACATCAGTTTCCAAGTCTTGCCACACACTCTCACTTAGATTAAGGGGTTTGTACTTTAACTGGGCCTTCCTATAACACACGTGTATGGCTTACCAGTTTAACCAGCTTCAGCTCGGAAAACAAATGAATGACAGGTTTTAATAAAAACGTGTCAATTCTTTTCCCCCTTCAAAGTCATACACTGCTTTGTTTTGGTCTGCCGAATAAAGTCCCATTGAGAAAACTACAATGTGAACTGAATGGGTTTTTTCACACATTCATTTTAATATTTGCACGCTCTTGTGTAGACACTGCAGCACCTTCGGTCCTGAAATCCCTCTTTGTGCAGCTGAGGCCGTACCCAGAGGACGGAGAACAAAAAGATTCAGTCAGGTACACTCCAAGTCATTTTTGTACTCTGGGCAAAACTGTGCTATATTTAACAATAGTTTGATTACACTTGATTTTAGAAGATGAAAAGGAGAGGGCAAAATGAATAGAAGAGTAAAACAGCACTGAAGAAGTCGTAGTAACTGATGAAGAAGATTTTTGACGAATAAAGCTGAAAACAAGATGCTTTGCTATTTAAGGCTGTAACTCTCATTTCATCCACAAGGGGCAGCGTTGAAGCGCTGCCCTGAACATGACTCCATACCATAAAAACAAAACGTTGATTCTTACCTTCTTCTTCTTCACTGTATGCTGGTAAAACAATCCTGTCTCCTTGTTCATCTTCCATTGTGTAGTTATAGTTGCTCTTAATCTTTTATTGTATTACTGAAGCTATGAAGACATACACAATATCATAAATAATGTTAATATTAATCAACATGCTGATGTAAAACCAGAATTGTAAATGGAAAACGGGTTATTATGAAAAAAAAAAAAAGTAAATTGTTGGATTTTTTTTTTTAGTTCCTTTTTTTATTATTATTTTGCTCTAGTGTTTTTGATGCTGTATTAAAATGTACATTTATGATATTTTACACATCTTGGTGCTTAATTAATGGGGAGGATGACGTAAACAATGTTAATATTTTTTTTTTTTTCACTTTTAAACCTGGTTTTGAAGCGACATACTTTTCAAGACTTTTAGTGCAATTACAAAAGGTGTGATTTAATTCAAGTTTTCTGTCTCATACACTTTCAGTATAGTTTGGTACAGTGGTGACATTTTTTATTTTTTTGTTTTGGCAGTCTATTGAGACACCTGGCAGACCGGCAGCCCCCCTCCTCTGCCGTTCTCCGTCTTTCACCAGTCCAGGTGTAAGCGAGGCTCAGGTGAACAAATCTCACCTTTCAACCCACTGTCTCCACAGCGAACAGAGAGGGAGGCCAGAATCAGAGGAAAGAGAGCTGGTCAATGAAAAATCTGCAAAATCAACGGAACACCTATAAAAGACTTTTAAAAACCCTACAGGATGGATGTTTGGAGTTCAGTTCGGTCTAGCTTGTATGCATTGATTAGTTTTAAATATTTCATGATTATAGGTAAAATGAAAAATCAAAATGTGTCATTTTATTAAAGTGAAGCTTTTTTTTTTAGATTCAATACACAAGGATATATTCCAGTGATATATTTCAAGTGTGTGTTTATGCTAATTTTGATTAAAGTACCTTATAGCTGATGAAAAATAGAAATTCTGTTTCTCAGAATTTTATTAAAGGCCAATAAAAAAGGATGTAATACGTTGTTGGATCTGCTTTTGCATGATTTACTGCGCAAGTGCAGGGTGGGATGGTAACAGACTTCAGTTCATCTGCATCGCTGGTGACTTTACCTCTGGACAAGACGTTCAGTCACAGTAACACTACTGACATGGATCCAAAGACCAAATGCTGCTGGAAAATAACATTCATTCAGTTTGTTTAAATAGCACCAATTGACAACATGTTACCTCAAGTAACTTTACATAAACAAAATACTGAAGTGTTTGTAAGTTTAAGTTTTTGTGACGTCTTAGTTGTTTATTGAAATCAATTTGGAAGAAGGCTGTAACACAAAATATGGAATACTCTGAATGCACTGCATTCGGGTTTCACTCTTTGAATTGAATTACTGAAATAAATTTTCTTTTGTTTAGATAAATACATGTGTTGATTTAAGACTAACAACCTCGATCCATTATAATTCATGATGTTTCATTGGAAACAGAACACTAACTCAATCGTGATGTTAGAGAGTTGCTCTGTTGGTTGATCATCTCCTCAAGGGACCTCTGGGGTCTTCAGTTTAAACGTCTGATTCTCTTTTCTATCAAGTTACTTTCTTAAATCTGTTCAATTCAACCTTAATGTTCACTGCAGAGTAAAGTAAAGACATCAGTAATAAATTAACTTTATTTAAACAAGTAAAAAAAGGACAAACAAGTTAATGGACAGTACATTAATTTTAAATTATCAAAACAAACTTGTTGGTAAAGGGTAAAAACATAAACATGACACTAATCTTAGAAGTGGAACGAAAGAAAAAGTGCAACAGCTTTGTTTCACAAAGTCGAACATTCCTGCACCTTCAGATAACAATATAAAAAAGCAAAGTTATAAAAAGGTCTGAGGCGCGGGGAGGATGCAGCAGGTTGGTGCTGCTGGAGTAAAAGAGTCCAGTCAGACGAGTCTGTCAGCTCTGCCAGCCCTTTGTCCATCCCCTCAGAGCTGTGGCAGCTCAAAAACCAGGAACCTGGACTGACGCGGCTTTCTCCGCTCGCCGCCGAAGAACATTCGGAAAAAACTTGCAGCGGCTTTCGGGCGACTGTGAAGCTCAAGGGACCTCTGGGGTCTTCAGTCGTTGACCGCCAGCCCAAAGAGCCTCAGCAGCTCCTTGTTCTCCGGCTCGATGAGGTCGGCCGGCTTCTCGCCGCACTCGTTCTCCAGCTCGGCGTCGGCGCCCAGAGACAGCAGGTAGCTGAAGGGAAACCAGACACACTGCAGGTCAGTGGAGGTGAGGCGTCTGCACTGCGGAAAGCCCTGTCTGAGTCCCTGTTTGTAGTGCAAATATCTCAGAATGTGACAAGTAACTTCAGCAAGAAGTAGCAGCTTGTTTTAAATCAACAATTCCTTGATATTGATGAAAAAGAACTAGTTTTACTGGCAGATTATTTTTTGGTATTTTTTTTTTATTGATTTTAAGGAACTTGTGACTTAAAACAATCTCCTATATGAAAAGTTACTAGAAAGTCAGTTTTGGATTATTTCAAGTGTGCAAAGATTTAAACTTGAAAGGTCTGGTAAGCACAGCTCTCAAGAGAATCCATACACTGATGGCAAACATAACTTTAATGAGGGCTGTCATGGACACAATTTATCGGAAATATATTGTGAATTCATTCCATATTCAGCAGCACTTCATACATATTGTGCAGCACTGACTGCAGTTATTGACATAATGAGACCCAGACTTCCCTGCTCTTTAAGGAGCCCCTGATAAATTGCTGCAGAGATTCTATATGAACCGGAGTGGATGCTCACCGTGCGATGTGGGGGAAGCCGTCGCTGCATGCCATGTGCAGCGGGGTCCACCCCTCCTCGTCTCTCTGGTGGATATCTGCCCCATAGTGCACCAGCAGCTGCACACACTCCAGATTCCCGGTCAGCACTGCCTCGTGGATGGCTGCCATTCCTTTAGAGAAAGAGATCTCTTTTAGTCATTTAAACTATGCCTGATTTCAAAGCTCACAATCCTGAAAAGGCCCCTTACCAGAGTGGTAAATAGTGTCCAGTTTGACCCTGCTGGCCCTGATGAAACGTCCGATCCTCTCCAGTTCGCCGTGCCGGACATAGTCCTGGAAAACGACGTCGTTGGGGAAGTGGACGCTGCGCACCGGCTTCAGGGAGGCTGCACTCTTGCAGGTGACTGGAAGGTTGCAGCGCTGGCTGTAAGCTTTGATTCCCAGGGTCTGGGACATGGGGCATCCGTAGTACTTCATCCTGGAGTCTTGCTGCAGAAGAACTTGCAAAAACTTTAAGTTCCTTTAGGGTTTGCGTCTCTCTCTGGGATCAACCGCTCCTCTGACGGTGCAGCTTCCTCGCTGTGGCTCTTTTATTCTCTCTGCTGGCCTATTTTAAGATCAGCCGCAAGATTTGGAAGATGAGTGGGCTCTAACCAGTTCCCTCCCTCTGACTGGTCATAAGCCTCTTCAGACACCTTACATCAACACACATAACAGCCAGTAACCTCCTGGACCTGGGTCAACATCACATTTCTTGATGTTGTCCACTTAAATATATCACTGACATCCCTTCAGCTGACAGGAAGGTGGGAGGCTGGAAGTTTCTAGTAAACACGAAGCAGGATCAGGTGAGGTGAAGTCCCCATGAGGGGCTGTTGATGGTAAAGTGAACTGATAAACAGGTTTGATTACCGTTATAGGGTGTGACACGGCAGCTGATGACAATTTCTAGATTGTTTTGCATCGTGCTGCTGTTTACTTGTTGAGAATCAAACGTGATGTTCAGGAGATGAATTATATAAAGATTGAAGTTTCAGTTGTTACACAGCAAAGTTTGGTGTGTTCATAACTGCCTCATTTAATTAGGTAAAAGACTGGACTTTCCATTATTTACCAACATATTGTGAAGACACGCTGATTAAGGTTTATGGACGCTTGTATGTGGGTCACTTGTCATTGCACACAGGCCCAAACTGCTGCGTCTCAAAGTGAGACTCGCCTACAAATCCAGCAACAAGATCGGTGTAAGTGGAAGGAAAAAGTGTGGTTGAAGTTAATAGCCTGGTTTAGCCTTAGCCCTGACATGCGTGGGAAGCAAATTCCAGTCAAAATATGTGAGCTTCATGAACTGCAGCCTTCAAACGCCTTGAGACTATTTTTAATTCTGGGAACTTTGTGCTGCCATCTAATTCTGAGAACAAAATTTAACTATGCCAAATTTTGCATACAAAGTATCTCAATACATCTACACACTTAATTTAGCATCTGCTTAATCAAAGCTCTTTATAAACAACTGTGGTTCAGGAGGAGTAGCCAAATTGTTGCCTAAATCTGAGATGTCAGAATTGTCTTATTTGGACCAAAGAGTAAAATACCAGATGGCTCAGTGGTTCAAAGACCTAGTTTTAGATTAAAGTTAATTTTGATTTGGAAATGAAGATCCCAGAGTGAAGGAAGAATGGAGAGAGTAACAGGTTTGAAGGAGGTCAAATTTGAAGTTTCACAGTAATTCAAGAAGCCACATCCTCTGGTGTCGACCCCATGAATTTTATCAAGGCCAGAACCAGAGCAGCTACAAGAGCATCTTAATGTTTTCCCTGACATAAATACCTCATTTATTTCATGGCGTAACTATGAGCAAACTCAACTAAATCTAATATATGGGACGGTATTCTGTATTATTTTCATTGATCTTATGCAATAGACCTTTTTCACGCTTCCGGGATTGAAAGCGGAGGTGGGGTTGGATAACTTCCGGTGGCTATAGCGTTAGCATGAAAAGGCTAGGAAAATGGCTCAATCTTGGCGCAGTTGTTTTTGTTCAGTCCCTGGTTGTTCATGTGAGGCAAGAAAACAGCTTTACCTGTCATATCATGCGTTCCCTACGGACCCGGACCAACGGAGGCAGTGGATCCAGGCGATCCGAAGAGATGAAGGTCCGGACTTTTGCATAAAAACGGGGAGCACTTTCGTATGTAGCCGTCACTTCACACCGGAGGATTTTGTTAGCAGATCCACCACCAGCCGCCTTAAAAGAAGAGCTGTTCCTTCCCTGTTTGCCTGGAATAACTTCACTGCACCGGCAATGAGAGAGTCTGCTCTCAGAAAGCTAGCCAGGCTGAAGATGCTACTGCGGACCATGACTACACCACACATCCACCCGCAAGTAAAAGATTGATATATTTTCCATGTAAGAGAATTTCAGTAAAATATAACTGTTGCTATAATAATAATATTATTATTATTATGATCACATAAAAATGTATTTTGTGGAGAGATTAAGTCAATGGCTGTATACATATATGCTCCTACTCACAACATGTATTGATCTTCACAGAAGTAATGTTTCGAATATATAATTAAAACTTATTGCTAACTGTATGTTTTGCTATTTTATTTTTTGGTTTTACAGGTGCACTTGATGAAGCTCTGGATTATATTAAGGAGTTGGAGGCCAGACTTCAAAAAGTGGGTTTGTCTGCCACACTTTTTAGCCGCTACTGTGCCTCTGATGACCAGATCCGGTTCTACACCAAATTTCCATCTGAATGTGTGTTCTGGATCTTCTGGGAGTCCATTGCACCCTCTGCATCACGCCTGGTGTTCTGGACCAGAGCACAGAAACTTGGAGAGGAAGCATGTTCTGAAGCCAGCCCTGCCTGCTGCATGCCTCTGATTGATGAGTTCCTGATGTACTCATTCAGGGTTGCAGTGGGCATGAAGGAGCAGCTCATTGCTGACATGTTTCAAGTCAGCATAGCTACTGTCAGCCATCACCTGGGCCAACTACCTCTTCATTGTGTTCTCTTCCATCAACCTGTGGATTAGTCGTGAGAAGGTAAAAGCCAGTATGCCTCAGAAATTTCTGAAGTTCTCTCCAAATGTCCGTGTCGTCTTGGACTGCACAGAAGTCCTCACCTTACAGTCTGAAACGTTCTCTGCCTACAAGAACCACACCACTCTGAAAGGGCTGATTGGAGTTGCTCCCTGTGGGTTGGTGACATTTATTTCAGCGTTGTACTCAGGCTGCATCTCCGACAAAGAAATAACGAAGGTCAGTGGAATCCTTCCTCTGCTTGAGCTGGGAGATGAAGTCATGGCAGATAAAGGCTTCCTCATTCAAGACCTCCTTCATGAAGTTGGAGCCAAACTCATCATTCCACCATTTAGGCATCCTGGTCAGTTCAGCAAGGAAGAGACAGAGGAGACCCAGACCATTGCTCGGCTGCGGATCATTGTAGAGCGAGCAATCGCTAGAGTAAAGCGCTACCACATCTGGGATTCCCCGCTGCCTCTCACTTTAATAGGAACTGTCAATCAAATCTGGCCCAACTGTTGTGTTTTGGCAAATTATCAAGGCCAATTTTGTGTTGCAGACGAAATTATT